GTCAGTTAATTAAGTGACAGACAACAGAGATAATGACCTCCCAGTGGACTTCTCCCTAAGGGAGAAGGCCTCAGAATGAAATGTCACAACTGACTCCAGGCATTTGCTCAACTTTCACTGTGCTTAAAGAGAAACACAATATCATGCATTTTAAAACATGCCAGGCATTTATTTATGTATTTGTCAATATTTTAATGAGATGATTGATAGCCTGTCACGTCTCTATGGTAAAGGGGAGGTAATAACTGCTGCGGGGCCACTTGTATCCTTAAAAAACTTGTACAAGTTGTTATTTGTATGGACTAAATGAAAAATATATTATGTTTTAATAAGGTTTGAGGTGACCATTTAACCATTGCACTAGCTAACTATCTGCTGGTAGTAGCTTCATCTTAATCTTAAAGATAGAGACATCTTCTCATTTATTCCCCCAGGAAGGAAAAAAGTGTATTTTTCCAACACTATTCCTTTGAGACTTCTGTGGAAGGCAAACTTGGATGCAGGCTGTGGTTATTCTGTCTTGTTTCATCAGAAAACCTAAAGCTTGGAATTCAGTGATTACATCATAATCAAATCATTGGTCAAAATGTGCATATCTTATTAATAAATTTAAAAAGTGATTTGAACTTACAGTAACCTACAGATAATATGTAATATAGAGTACAGTTTTTAATAACAAATGGTTAGCTGCTTTAGAAGTACATGAGGCATACTTAGAGAGTTGGAACACCATCAGATCACATCACACTGGAATGAAATGAATATCACTAATGTAACTAATGGTTTTTTCTCTTTCTTAATTGCTTGTCTCAGTACTTCAGTTTAAAAGTGACATGACGTTTTGTCAGGCTTACATAATCATTTTCACAGTCTGCATTTTTGTATAATATGCGGACTGGAATTTGCAATTCGCTGAACAAATCTCCTCAAACAGATGCATGACGTGTGTGTGTGAGAGAGAGTTATGTCTTGAGCTTCGAGTGTTAATCTAATTCTGTGGCTTCTGAGTGAGGTGTTGGTCTATGTGAGGATGTTAACAGTCTGTCGCTTCACTAGGGGTGCCAGGCACCGCTTCTGTTTCTGCAGAGCGAGTGCAGATATTTTCTTTGAGTTTCGGAGAGAAAACAGTACTGCTGATGCAACACGCAGCTGAAGGATTCCCGTGGGTGACCTTGCTCTTTTCTGACACATCCCCTGCCATTACTTCATGAAAAAATGACAAGGTAGCAGATGAAAGGATTCGTGAGAAGAGTGGGGTGTGAAGCAACAGCTTAATATTTAAGGGATATGTCCATTTGATTAGACTACTCTCATCCAAAATGGGCGGAAGCCTGCGAACACATGTCACAATATAACTGACAAGAAATAAATTAGGTCCGATTTCCTACCATCAATTTGACTGCAGCACAGTGAACAATGCAATGGAGGGGGGGACTGTCAAAATTGAGGAAACAATCATTTTAAATAAAAGAAATTCGACAGAAATTCGATCAATTTTTTCCCCTTATTATTTTCTTTTGTAGACAGCTACTGTACAGTTTGCTCATCTTTTTGGATCACTGTAGAGAAATAACCTCCAACTGAGTGGATGGCTGATGGGGTACAATAAAGCCCATTGAAGCCCTGTCACAGAAAAATGAGGCCTACTACAATAGCAATGTTATCTATGGGGAGGTGCAATGAGGAACTTCTCTGATGTGACAGACTCGCTAACAGTGTCTGACAGGACCCAGGAAACCACAAAGGCCGCACTGTAGCACTGTACTCGTACTGAAGTAAACAGATCAGAGCAGCGGGTATGTGTGCCTGGGAGTGCATGCATTTTTGCCCTTTTATTTATCCAGTGGCTACTCAACTGTCTTACATTACTGCACGTTCACACCTAGTACCTTCACTGCATCTGTATATGTGTTTGTTGAGGATTGTTCTCCTTTGATTGTTGAGGCATGATGAAGCATTACAGTGAGAAGTTGACAGTTGTGAGAAGACTTTCTTCATCATCAAAGAGTGAGTTTCATCATCCCAAATGCACAGTTAACCTACAATTAAGGGTTCAATATGCAGACTAATATTTGATGTGAAAGTCTTGAGCGCGGGGAGGTTTTGAGAATAAGGAATGATGACACAATTAGTCTAGTGGAGCTGATCTGTGAAGTCCAGTGTTACATGCAAAGTCTGAATGGACCCTCAGACATTCCCACAACTTGAACAATGAATCTTGAAGACAATGAAAACAGTCCTCATACTCCTGGAAGAAAATTTAAAAGGACGCTACATCAGGGAGGAAATGAAAGGAAAAAACCCAGTCATAGGAAAAAATATGAATTATAGCATCCTAACCAAGGCATTTGCATGATTTAGTTAAAAATCATAATCAAATATTAAAGGTTGTAGATTCTTGAACATTTCTGATGGTTATGAATTGTCTGAAATCTGCACTTTTTTGCTATGCAAGCCACCCAGTCATCAAAGAAAGCAGAAAGCATCTTTCAGCCATACATTTAACTGCTTTTATCACTTTAGGCTTATCTTAGCTGTGAATAATTTGAGTTAATCTGATACTCCTGTAAGTTCCCTTCTCTGAAAACCAAACTGACATTTCAGTAATAGTCTAGCTGTTGCAGGTTTAACTGCCAAAAAGTGGCAATGCTCCAGTTTTAAGAAGAAGCAGTTTTAGTGATTTGAATTTAGATTTGCTGAATTTCTTTATCTGTATACTAAGTTATGAGCTGTCAGTGAGCATATGGAGCACATGTAGTTTGCTGAAAAAGCCTCACTTCCCTATTAATTCCCATGTGTGCAAGCTGAAAAGGATATTCTGGGACAGTTTTGAGATGAAGTTTCCAGATTGGGCCTTGGTTCACCAGTTTCAATCTGTCTGTCTGCTAGACCAGCTGTAATGCAGCCCTCTTTGGAGAGGCAGACGGAGAACATGCAACCTTTATTCTGAAAAGCCAAGCCCGGCGGGATGACAGCTCCTAAAACTCTGTCAGATGGCAGCAAGGCCTCTGGACATGAGGGGCATTTTGATTTGAGTCAGTAGCCTCCAAAACCTGGAATGAGAGTAAGTTTAGAACACAAAATAATCGGAAAGCTGCGCTGTCACAATAATGGCCTGTGTTGGCTTCTGTCACGAGCTGATGAGGAAAAGAGGATTTGAGGGTTGAGTAAGCTTATGGAAATATACCCAAAGCTCATCATTATTCTATCACCCCTCCTTAGTCTAGTGCCTCTCCCCTCTCTATTAGTACATATACTGCATCTACAGTAGCGAGATCTCATCTTTAGTCCTTATGATTGGTATGCATAGCAATGCAGAACAGTGTCATGCTGAGCAGAGTTTGGGCTGTGTGCACCACAAAGAGGGGAAAGACACGAAGAGAGAATAGAAGTGAAATGGGGGGAAAATGATTACTTCTCCGTAGTCACGCTGTTTCAAAGCCTACTCTCTCTGTCAAGAGATGAGGAGGATGAGGGCTTGCAGGCAACGAAGATCTCTTCCTGTTTTCCAAACTCCTCATCATGTTCTTTCAAAGAAAAAGTTTTTTTTCTGCTTGTGTATGACGACTCAGAAGTCTTCCTCTGCCTCAAACTTTGCATGAACTTTCTTTGTTTTTTCAAAGGCTTCTGGGAGTTGAGAGCAAAGGCGAAATCTTTTCAGATTTTCTTATGAAAATCTCTGGTGTCTTGCTTTTTGGAGGTTGTGGCATTGCGTGTCTTTGGTAAAAAAGTTTATGAGTCTTGTGCGAGGTTATTGAAACTGTAAAGACCACCGAGCAACAAGCACCGTTGTTATCAACTGTCTCTTAGCGGTTTGGATTTCCGATTTGTTGCCTCGGATGAATGGATTCAGCTCGGTCCAGTTTGTTCCGATTACTCCGAATGCAACAAACAGTCAGAGATGTAATCTACTGCAGCTTTGCAATCAATTTTTTAAGTGTTTCTAGGCCAGAAATCCCTCTATAGTCTCTTTTGTACTCCAAATCCCCAATCATCCTAAATGATTACAGTGAATTTCACAGAAGAGATCAAAGTTTAATAATCAGTTTAACCTTTGTTCTCCCCCTCAGTTACATTTTCAATTGTGTAATCGACCTGGACTTAGAAGGCAAATCAACAAGGATTTAAGCTCTCAGCTTGAAAGGACAGGTGGTCTCACATACTCTCCACATAAGAATATATTCTGTCAGTTTCTGACTTTGTTTTCCCTTGCCCCTTGTGAATTTTGAGTTTACCAAATGATCTTTACATTTTGTTTCATTAATTTAACCTCATTCATTCAGGGAGGGTCTTACAATTAACCCAGAGTATCAAAATTTAAAAAACTCTTAAGTAGGAAACTGCTTGCTAACCTCTGTACTGCCCTTTCATTGATTAATGTGAGCTACCATTCATTCGTTAGCGTGTCCCTTTATACTGTCTGTATACTGTCTATATAGAATGAATCAAAATACACCTAACTGAATTCAAATGATTACACTTAAAGTACTACTGGCAGACTGCAGCTGGCCATTTTCCGTGCCTTGCAATATCACTGCAGGAGTGTTCAGGGAGTTGCATGGGCTTAATTGCTTAATTATCGACACCTGAAAAGACATCTCTTGGGTAAATTGGTCAAACCATGTTGTTTGTTAAGCTCTTCATGCTTTCATGACAGTGTTTTTCTTATACCTTGATTTTAACTTGTATGATGTTCTAAAAATAAAACCCATGTCTTTATTAAGTCGTCTGCATTTCATGTTTCTCTTTGTTAGCACAGTTTGCATCAAATAATTACACAGAACACAGTTTATTCCCTGAGAAAGAAACGTAAATATTAAGTTGAGGCATGAAAGGGTTACAGTTTTGTCAAGAAAAACAGTTTAATCTCATTTTGTTGTATTGATTACTTTGTGAGGGTACATGCCACTTGGATGGATTTCCTTTTAGGCATAAACTCTTCTGAGAGACTACCAACATGTTTTTATTGACCTTCCTTGCCTCTGCTTCTGTTGATGCAGGAAAAGTATTGAACACGGACCTGCGCCACTACCTCAGTCTGCAGTTTCAGAAGGGCTCGCTGGACCACAAGCTCCAACAGATCATACGGGACAACCTCTACCTACGCACCATCCCCTGTAAGTACACCATTGATGGCATTCACTATACATGGTTTGAATGTACAGTCTACCCTATTTTCAGCACATGTGCACTTTTGTCTGAAGCACCCTATGGGAACAATGAGGCCGTTCTGTATGCATCTGACAGCTGGAAACATATTGCACTGAAAAGCAGCAGGCCTGTTCTGATTTTATTACGCAAGCCTGAATACGCACACCGCGCTCAAACACATATGTACCCTGTCTGCTCCTGCACTGTCAGTCACTCACAGCTCTCTGTCACACACACTAGAAAACACACATTTCAGTGTCACCATAGCAACCCGGCCAAGGACATCTCTGTAACCCCCGTGTAACTTATTTACTTCTGTGCCGTATCATCACAATGATCAAAGTCGTATTCTTTCCATAAATATCCCTGCTTTTTCCCTCCCCTTCTCTGCTTTTCCTTGCTGACATTCTACTCAGCGGGGCCGTCACCAGCTATTATTCTTTGCTGTAATCAGTAATGGAGTGGTAAATAAAAAGGTTGGTACTGTGGACAGTGAATGGGTTTTTGGGTAATAGTAATTTTGAGTGGAAAAACTGAAAAATATTTATAAGCAATATTAGTCATTTCATTACAAATTAATATATTCCAAAAACATACAATCCCTGTAATTCCAAACAGTGGAAATGTTTCATAATGTCTTCAGGATTTGGACTGGGTTAGTCGAGTAAAATTCACTTTTACCGTGCAGACAGAAACCTTTCATTGGTAAAATGTCACTTTCCAGGAGCTAAGAAAAAGAAGAACACATTTGCAGCCTGACGCCTCTGCATTTTCTAACCTTTTTTTAGATAATTCAAAAGGTTTTATAAGCTTGAATGTTCGCCGTTTTTGTTAAATGAAAGCATGGAAATTACCAAAATTAGAGATGAGGCTGTTAGCACAGCAAAGGTGCAAATTAATATCCCGATTAAGGGTTGTGTGGGTTGCATAAATGCAGGCTGTTTGCCACAATGATGGGAACGCCTCTAAAATTAGAAATGCAATTTTATTTCTTTTCTTAAAAGGATTTTTTTTGTGCTGTATCTGTCTGCATTGCTACTGTAATTTCAAAACAGATTTCCATTTAGAAAATTTGTATTAAATTTGTATTAAATTTATTGTAAAACGGTGAAACACTGATGTCGAATGACGCACAAGGAGAAACTGCACAGAATTTTAAGGCACCAGATGATGTGCTGAAGTGAAACTGCATCGACGGGAGACGTGACTCTGACACGGTGTCTGTAAGTCTGACGTAATGTTTGCACAGATATATTGGCCTAAATATTTACCACGTCATGCTGAACACTGACTCTGCTCAGAGAAATGCCGTAATTGGGTGTAGTCAAGGTTTAAGTCACGTGCAGAGGGACTTCTCCTGAGGCGATGACAGACTCTTAGCCACAGCCCTGTCACAAACACGCAGCATCTCAGCACTCGCGCCCCTCAGGGCTGGAAGTTGCTCTGCTTTGTTCAGAGGGGTCATGCAGCGCAAGTGTGAAAATAAGCTGCTTACCTTTAATATATATTTTACTTAAGGACGATCCTTCTTCCATCCCTCGCCTCACTCAGTTTCTGAGTCTTTCTATGTTTTTCTTTGTGTTTATTCCTCTCATATACCTGTCAGTCATTTTGTGAACTTTGTGAATTTTTCTTCTCAAAACCTGGCTGCACTGGTAGAATCTTGGGTCAGTTACACTCGATGGACAGAAGTTTATTAAAGAGCTTTACAAAACTCATTCCAGTAATTTCCCCCCCAGCACTGCTACCTGTCACTCTCACCTGCTCTTCTCTGCACACACACACACACACAACATAACATGCTTGGACTCTTTTCTGTCACCCATCCACACACCCCCAGTATTAACTACCTGTTCAAACACGACGTTGTATATTTTCATGTACCGCGGCGGCGGTCAGTGAGATATTACAGGCTTTGACCACCATTCATCATCCGCAGCCAGTGGGTTCGGTGCATGAGTCTGACTCTCTAATCCCCTGCTTGAATTACTGTCTTAATGAGCAAGAGTCCGGGACTTGCACAGTGACGGCACCTCCATCATTCACTCCCTCGCTCTCGGTCTCCCATCCTTCACCCTCTCTGTTTCACTTTTACTCTTTTTCTGTTTCAATTACCCTTGGCTCTCCTTTCAGCTTTATTTAGATTGTGGTTTGAATGTATAAAAGCAAAAACATTTGAACCACAACTAATAATTTAAAACAAACAAAAAAAGATCCGTTTTTGCAGTTTATAACCTTGAAATGCTCCAGTGTATATAACCTAGTGTTGGCATTCCAATGTCAGGTGCATAAAAACATTTTACCTGTTCCAGAATCAGTTACAGTAGCATACTGTAGCACATATTATCCTCCATGTATCCAGAATAGCATTACAATATTGAATAACTGGTTGGTTTTACAGCACCAATTCAGTATTTACTCACTGTATACAGAGTGACCACACTGGTATCAACCATACCAGACAATAGTGCAGTGCAACAGCAACACAAGCTGCTTTGTTGAGTAGTGTGAATGGCTTTTTTTTTTTAGCCCGCAATAGTCTATCTTCTGCTCCCCTGCTGTGTTTTGCAGTTATTTTGCTCTTGCAATTTCACCCTGCAACTCTTCAGCATGGATTCAGCTGGTCATATATTTGGCACAGAAAAGTGAAAAGTTGTGCAGTGAGTACTCCTACCCTATAAGTAACACTATGGCATTATAAATGAGGACGCATAACAATTCGCTGAATGTGTTGAACATGACGAGCTGATGATAAACAAGCACATTTGAGAGCCATGTGTGACAATCATGCTGACAGCAGGCGGATTAGCGGTTGGTTTGTGTCACCATGCCAGTGGTCCACTTTAGTTAACTACCACCACACTGCACTACGCTAACACAACTACAGCTGATCTGTGCCATTCTGTTTGTGCAGCCTACTAACACCATAAGGTCAATTCTACTGAGCTTTAGATTTTAGGTTCATAATGCAAGCATTACTTTTAGGCCAGTTATGAAACACAAAACAAATTTTTTAAGAGACAGAAAGAAGAGGACAGGCGATGAAGAGTGGTCTGTAATGGAGGAAAAGGGGGGGAACAGAGACAACACGCGAGCACAGTCTCTGCTGTTTGTGTGTGGTAAATCCCTGAGCCTCCTTGACAGGGTCTTGGGACGGGCTCCATCTCATTTGGACTGTTACAAAAACGCTGGAGGAGGCTCTCAAGTGCTCTGAAGAGAACAAAAAGAGGAGGGTTTTCTAAGAGGACAGAATGCTCAGGGTCACAAGCGGTCCCTTGACTCCCCACCAAGATCAGAGATGGGGAGAAAGAGCTTTATGCCAAACAAACTCTCCGTCTCTCTCTCTCTCACACACACGCACACACACACACACACACACACTGCACTAGTGCAGGTACATGCACAGACAGGAATGCAGGGATGGATCAACGTGTCATGTACAAATGCTGCTGGACTATCCCTCCATTTTCTCATTTCCCAGATTGCTCATCTTCCTTGCTTCCTCTCCTTGTGTCTTAGGTCCTCCCACCAGAGATGTGAGTAGAGGAGGCAAGGAAAGGTTATGAGGAGAGAGGAGTTGAGACAATTAACAAAATAATGCTTCGTTGCCTGTATTTGAAAGCGCGACCAGTTAAATATTATGTTTTACGCAACATACGTACCTTTTTTAGTCACGCACAAATGGTGAAGGGTAGAAAGCTTGATCTTAAATAACTGACAAAACAGTTATTTAAACAGTCCATCTCTCATGTTTTTTTGTGTTTTTTTTTTTATATATTCAAACTGTGAGTCATATCTCTTTTATACACTGGAGGTAAAAAAAAACACTTCGACAAAGGACACACCTGCCCATCGTCAATTACATCTCCTCTGACAAACCTCCTCTTTCCTCTCTTCTACAAGTGCATTTAAAGAAATGAGACATCCTTCAACGTGGCATACAGAGATTGATTTCCGGGTCACAGGCAGAAGGATGGAGGATAGACAAGACACGGAGCCACAAATTAGAGAAATGAGAAAAGCATTCTGACCTCGCTCTCTGCATGCTAAATGTGGCGACAGCTCATTCCTTGTGCTCTGCCTCCCTGTTCTCCTCATCAACTGATTTTCACAATTTCCCATTAAATCAATACTGGTAGAAGGTAGATAAAGGAGCTGTTATGCATTTACTTTTTATATGGCAATATAGGGTAGTCTGTTTTACAAAAAGACATCAGCAGATAGCTAAGTGACAGAGTTTGCCACAGTATATTTTCTCAAAGGCGATTTTTTTCTGCAGAAATACCAACAGAGTTTGGATTTGTGATGATCCCTTTTCCTTTCCCTGTTCTTTCTTTCTTTCAATTTCAACATCAAAGCCCTAAGCCACCCTTGTTTGAAGTACCATCATAAAACTGTGCACGAACTCAACATGTTAAATTTATGGCCTGCCACTTCTGACTGACTACCTCTGAAGTTCCCATTGTGGCAACCTCGAGTCCAGACGGTTCAGAAAATAGGTCTCAGCAGTTAGACCTTGGAAGACTAAGGTGACAGGTTTTTTTTCTAACCAAGATAGACAGGCGCACAGCTCTGAACCACTACTCATAACCATAAAATAAAAAGAATAGTTTGACATTTTAGGAAATGGTCATTCAACTTCTAATAAGAGTTTTATGAGAGCGTTGACACCATCCTGAATGTTAAATGCAACGCTAAAGCCAGCAGCTTGTCCATCATAGTGACAGGAAACTGGCTTTGTACCAAGGACAAATCTGCCTAACAACGCCAGTGAAGTGAAGTTTAGTTTGTATTATAAATGGAGTGTATGCATGTGACTTGTTGTCATTGTCAGGTTTGTAATCAACCAGCAGTTTTAAAGATAAAAGCTTCAGATATTTGGTTTTTATTTTTGGGGGTCAGAATTTAGTGTAAATGTAAACCATCTAAGCTTGGGCACCGGACTTACTGTACCTGTCTCATCTGTCTCTTACTCCAGGCAGGGATCATCACTCTTCAGGTCACCTCATCTTTGCCTACTCAGTGACTTTGTCACAATACTAAGTAGCTTTTTATTTTTTCAAAAAGACATGTAGCTGCAGATCTAGGAACCTTTTGAACAAGCAATGCTGTGCCAAAAGCACATGACATAGATCTCCCTACCAAGGGCACATCTCTGAATTTACTTTTTCAGAGATTTCAGAGATGCTTGGTGTGATTTTAATTTTTTAAAATTTTATTTATTTAAATCACAACAAAACCCTTCGATAATAATAATAACTTTATTTATAAAGCGCTTTTAAACAAAGTCCTGTATAGCTATTTGAAACTAAAAAGATAAATAAATAAAAGCGATACATAGCGATACAAGTAGAAAACACAATACAAGTTAAAAACAGTAAGAATTAAAAAAAAAAAAAAGAAGGTAAAGAATTAAGACATGTAGGATAGGGTAAACAAATGTGTCTTCAACTTAGTTTTAAAAACCTCCACAGAGCATGCCTGCCTAATATCTTGAAGGAGGAGGTTCCACAAAAATGGGGCACGAAAAGAAAAAGCACGCTCTCCAATTGTCTTTTTTTCTGGCTCTAGGAACCTTTAGAAGGCCAGAGTCCTGAGATCGTAGAGCACGAGATGGAACATAAAGGTGTAAAAGGTCGGAGAGGTATGAAGGTGCCAGTCCATTTAAAGCCTTGTAGGTGAGCAGCAGGACCTTAAAATCTGCTCAAACCTGACAAGGTAGTCAATGAAGAGATCTCAGTATAGGGGTAATGTGCTCAAATTTTCCAAGTACTTGTTCAAATGTGAGCAGCTGCATTTTGCACCATTTGTATGCACAACAAAACCCTTCAATGCACTTCATATTGTATGGTAAAAACCCTACGATAATACAGAGAAAACCCCAACAATCAAACAAGACGATCCACTGTATGAAAGCACTCGGCAACAGTGGGAAGGAAAAACTCCCTTTTAAGAGGAAGAAACTTCCAGCAGAACCAGGCTCAATGAGGGGCGGCCATCTGCTGGTGGGGTGGGGAGGGAGGCAGAGCAAGAGACATACTGTGGAAGAGAGACAGAACCTAATGATTAAAAGTAAAGTGGTGTATAAACACAAACCTGAATAAGGAAGAAACAGTCAGTGTATCATGGGAAGCCACCAGGAACCTAGGCCTATTGCAGCATAAGAAAGTGAAGGTTCTGGGTCATCTGATTCAGCCCTAATTATAAGCTTTATTTATATAGTTTGACCAGACAAGCAGCTCCCTTACTATTGTTTACAATACCTCCAGCACCATCCAAAGCACATGCAGCAGATGGTGTTGAAACATTTTCTTGACCTCAGGTTACAAAATTGAAATGAATAAATAGGTCTAACTAACAAAAGGTGAGCTTTAATGACTCCACAGGGCTGATAAAAACAAAACTAGAACCCAGAAAAGCTTTTGAAATATGTGAGTACAAGAAGGTCAAACTGAAGGTAAACAGACAAATTTACAGGGGAACAGATTAAACTGCATACGCACACAGGGCTGACTGGATGCAGGTGAAAACAATCACAGTGAAATTAATGAGGGCAGGGCAGGCTACAGCAAATGAGAAATACCAGAGATCCACAACTAAAATAGAACAGGAGCTAACAAAAAACAAGACAACAAGGAAAAATAATCAAGTAAAAACTGAAGGGTGCTTCAGAGACCATGATGCCATTTTTTTGTACTTTTTAAACTTTATGTAACCCCAAAAACTGGTGTCATTTTGACTTTAGAAGTCACGGCACTACTGTTGCCTTTTTCTTGTGTGTCTAGTGATTTTGTCAGATTACAGTTGTACAATTGTTGCCTTTAATTAAACCAGGAGACACATGTCCTGAATCTTTTATTACTTGCTGTTGATTCCCACTGAAGCTCCAGAGCCTGAGAAAATGTCACTCGGTACAGCCCGAATTTGAATAGAGGAGACTCTCCCCTCTGCTATGTGCCATGATCCAAATACATTCCTGCTGTGTATTGCTGGGCAATTAACTGCAGTATATCCACTTAACCTTTTTTATTATAGTATCTTTTTTGGAGGGGGGGGTGGGCTTCCTGCCGTTAGTTTAGCAGTCTCCAACCCTTGTGTTCAAAAGAAAAATATGGCAAGATGCTGCAAAGTTCTGTTTGGATTTGCCACTTTCATTCATCTGCACCCTCAAAACATGAGCGAGCCCTTATTATATTGGCACAACTGATTCACAATAGCAGGTTTATGGTATATATTGGTGTGGCATCCAGGATGATGGCTTAGGGAGATTCTTGGCAGGTACAACTGTGACTCAAGTAATTGGGCTACAGGGGACATTTTCGAGGGACCAAAGCCAGCGCCGCAGGCAGACAAGTTGGTAATGAGAAGCAGCAGAGGTTGGCATTCACACACACAATGCAGTGTCAACTGCTTTTGGTAACACAAACTGTGGTATCACAGCAGACTGTAGAAGCAAGCGTCTGTGTTTTGGTTTTTTTCTCCCCAAACTGTGATTTTGCTCCTGCACTGTGCAGTGAAGCTGTCACAGTCCAATTAGGGAGAAAATATGAGTGGAAAAACAAAAGGAAATGGCAACATAAAGTTACTTAATAGGCTATTTGGCCACCACGATCTACAGACCCTTTTCACTTCTAATTAGCACAGACTCTACAAGTGCCAAAAAAATACTCTGGAGATGCTGCAGTATATTTCAGTAACATTCCACTATAGTTGTTTTAATGCCTAAATGCAGTTTATTTTAATGCAACACATGTATACTGTTGCTGAACAGATCAACGGCACACTTAGGGTATATTTGTATTTAATTCAAAATACTTATGTTACTTTCTTGCTGATACTGTGCGTTGCTGTTGCTGAATTCAGAAGTGGTAGAAGTGCTCTTGCTTGGCATTGTGAGAGCATATTCACTTACTAAACTTTTTTCTGTGTTGTAGTTCTGTGTAGTATCGTTTCTTTGTTTCCCTCATCTCCCTTTTCTGCTGCAGGGCTACTCAATTTGCTCTGGTTTCCTCTTACACTGAAATCGGGCTTATTTAAAATTTCAGATTGAATGATTTTCTGAATATAAATGACTGTTTTATGCAAGCCCCCTACAGACTGGTAATCTGCAGGGTTGTTTCTTCATCTCCCTCTTATCCTCAACCCTCTGCCCTTCCCATGACCCTAGAAAGGATTAACTAGGAAGTATCTGCTCCAGAAGCATGACTGACATTCATTTAGGTGAGAGAAATGTCCATGAAATGCAGGATTGATGACTGGTGGCTGTGTGTCTGCTTTGTTTTGCCTCTCATGCTACCAATTACTGCTGTCCTACCTTCAACTCTTGTGGTTATTTCAGTGGAGTTTACAAGTTTGGTGACACACCACCTAATTAGCCTTGAGTGCAATTGTAGCACATTCCCACTTACTTATTCATGGAATACAGTTTACATAATCCCCATGCTAATGTAATCATTTGGTGTCCATTTTTTTGCCTTGCAGATAATCATCCTCGAAGAAAAAAATTCCCATCAGTACCGAAGTAGACTGTGGCTTCCCCACAGGGGCAAAATATGCACTCAGAATTGCCTTGTGTCATTTGCATTCGCGTTGCCCTCTGTGGCACTGAGTGAACTTAACCCACACCAGGGGGCTACAAATCCCATTGCTTCCATCATAATTCACATCTCTAATTTGCTCTACTGATTTCTGCATTTCAGCTGTAGCCAGTATATGTGCCAAGAAGCTTCCAATAAGAACTTGTTAGCAGAGGCTGCAGTTACTCACGGAGGATTAAATGAATTAAGCCCTCAGTGCTCTACAGGCCTTCATCAATTATCCATCTTTCACAAGATGGTACCAAGGTCTCTTTGGATTTTCATTCCAAAAAGAGATATCTGCTCTTATCAAATATGTACTGCAGTCCTGTACAGATAAAAAGAAAAGAAACGCACAAAAACTGCATCTTTTGTATCTTTGAAATCAAGAACAGAGAGTAGAGAGTTGTTTTTATTTTGACTGGTCAATTCAGTTCAGAACCTGTTAGCCGAGAAAATATCTTAATCTCAGTTTCTGTCTCAACTGAAACATATTCTACATTACTGCTTTATCTATACTTGTGTTGACTTGTATGCTTGTGTGTTTTTCTTTGCAGGCACAACACGGCTTCCTCGAGAGGGGGAGGTGCCAGGCGTGGACTACAATTTCATCAGTGTTGGAGACTTTAGGATCCTGGAGGAGAGTGGACTTCTGCTAGAGAGTGGAACCTATGATGGTAGGCATCACGGTGGCATTAAGAATATGAGAAACCTTTCTGTGTGCATGTCTTCGGCTGTGTGCATTTAGTCAGAGAATATGATTCACACTGACAGCTCTCTATAATAGAGTGAGTGTAAGCTTGCTATTCACAGTCATTATGACTTATAGCCTGCCTTAGTGAAATGTGACGAGCGGGACAAAATGTATTGATCAGTGAAACACGATTAAAGACTTGTTAGAAGTGACAGTCAGAGTAGCAGCAGTATTTGCAGCTCTTGATATAAACTGCACTATTCAGCTTCTCCTCTCTATGTGTAGAAAGGGTCGATGAGGTATGACGTTTGCAGACCTTAAATTTAAATAGACATAGAAATATTGTATAAATAAGAACAAATTTTTTGTAGCAAGGATTAAATAAACTTTACATTTTCCAGGCACTTTAGGACCTGAAATAGTCGGCAGTCAGTGACAGGTGTGATAGGCAGGAAGGGTTTTTTCTTCTTTGTAGCAAAGCATTCAAAGTGTTTGAGCTAAAGGGTGAATTATAGGCCTTGTGTTATGTATTTTGCAGTGATCAGAGGATAGTTTACTCTGGTTAGACAAATAAAATGTGTCAGTAAAATATACTTATATTTTCATTTTCAATACACATTACTGAGTTTTCCTGATTGTAATTTCCTTTCTAAGTACTATAATTGACAGCATGTAGAGGAAAAAAACGAAAAAAATTCCAGTCTTCTTTTCATTTTCATTACAAAATTAATTATTAAACAAAACTGCTGGAGGTTACTGGATGTTCTTACTCATAAACAACTAAAACATAAAGTGTTCTGCAACTAGAAAAAGATACAGATATTTAAATAAAAAGAGTTGCCCGAGTTTTGCCAGATAACAGGTCATTCATCCTTTTCTCTTTTCAGCTTGTCTCCATAATTAAATCTTTTGATCTTTTCACTGCTCGTACTGAAGCTTGTGGCTGGTGCTCAGCTCTGGTTAGCTTTATCTTTATCCACTTTTCCTTTGTCAGATTCTTTAATTCTTTATGAAGCAGAGCAGGTCATAATCAGACATATGGGAGGCAAACCTACTGATCACAGTTCTGTTGTTGCATTTTCTGTATTAGACAATTCTTCTAAATTTAGCATTTTGCATGGACAGTCTGTGATTTGCAGAGCTGGAAAGTTATTCCTCGTACTTGAATTAGCCATAACTTGCATGCATGCTCATGAGCATAGTTTGTACTTTAATCTGTGCCCTGCAAGTCCGTACTTCATGTCCGACACTTTTTGCGTTCCCTGTTTATGTATCTGTGCCAGTACCTATTTTACTTTTTCAGCATACAGTGCATATTCACACAATAGTGTGTGAACGAGTAGCAGCTGTGGCACCTGTTGGTGACTTTTTGTAAACCAGTCAACATTCTGAACCCACCTGCTGACTTCGCAGTCACAAATAAGGAGGATCCACTTGTGTCCTTACTTACAACTCATGCTTTATTCATGGGATAAATCAGCCTCTTTCTTTCCTCTTTCTCTCCTCTCACATACACAGCCAGGAAGGTCTGGCTTGTCACAAACATTCAAAATTTAAAAAGTAACTTTTAGAGCTAAAGAACTGGGATTTTTTCCCGAATGTTCATGTGACAGCGCCTTAAGGAAGTAAACATGTCAGTTCCAAATGATATTTTACTGCTAGTAGACAAGCACATTCATGTTCTTTCCAGTACAGAGTTTACACAACAACGGATATTTCAGCTTGGCGAACATTTGAATGGTTTTTAAGATTTTTAGCATCTTAGCAACAATAAAACATAAGCAGCTGCCCTGCATTCAGAGGTCTCGTAAAGTCAGACGGTTGCAACGTATGCGTGTCATGAAGGGATTGCAATGGAGGATTTCTCTCACATATCACAATGATTATGGCAATAACATGATAATCTCCCCATTCTCTTTAAGCTCATTCTTTCTTAGTGCAAATCCAGACTGCTGTGAAATGCGAGAGGATTTTTCTAAATGTTTGAGGAGCAACCTCTGGTCGCATAAAATGGACAATCCCTTCACCGCTCTCATTCCCATTCAGCTGCTTCTTGTGCTTCCTGTGAGATGTAGAATTAAAAAATAAAGTAAAATCCTCATCCGGAGGGAGAGAGCCGTAAGGCTCAGAGCAGCTTCCTCTGGATGTGGACAGGTGCTTTTCTGTTTTTTACCATATTGTGCAACTTTGTCTGCATGCATTTATTGATGGTGAGGTGCATAGTCTGTCTGGACCTGCTGAGGCAGCTTCTTGCAGCAGTCTGTGAGCCCTGTGATAAGGTGTCATTCCTTCTAAAGGATTTCATCCCCATAGCACGGCTGCAGAAATGGCATTAGACACACATGGACACACATACATTGTTAGCACACAATTCCACATCCTTGAATACAGAACAAATCCTGTCCTTCCTTCTGTCGGAATAGATCATCTAAGAATTTGAAGATCAGGTTTCCAGGGCTACCAAGGCACCCAAAACCTGTCCTTCATCTATGAGCTGAAGTCAAGTGGGATTTATACCTTTTATAAAGAGTTTGACTGTTTGTAGAAAGAGAGAAATGGGGAGCAAATCGAGGAATATAATATAATAGAGAAAGAGATGTAGTTGACAGGCATACTGAGCTCCTCGTCTCCCAGTGGAAACCCCCTTTGCCGAGGAAGCAGGACAGCCTCGGCTATGTGCAGATGTGAGGATTAGCTTCTCAAAAGTTGGAAGGTTTCAGTATACTACTCCTAAGAGGGAACACTCTGAACACTCTGATAGTGGATGCCCCCTCCTCTGCGCGTCTGCTTAAACTCAGTCAGCACAAGCGATGCACGGCTACTGTGGCAGGGAGTGTTGATCTCTAAGCAGCACAGTTTACTCAAAGGTGGAAGTAATCGGATCAAGGAATGTGATTTACTGCATTTAGTTGTGTTTGAAGCCCAGCCTATTTTTTTCTTTGGAAAGGGGAAAATAAGTTCCTGTGTCCTGTCACAGGCCAGGTGGCTTCCATAGTTCTGTGAGGACCTCGTGAATTACCTTAAGTCTGTAGTCGTGCATAATAATTGAGCTGTGCACAAGTTGCTTGGCTAATGGGATTCTTAGTTAATTGTAATGAACTCCCTGATGTAATGGCCATTATCTTAATGGCTCAAGAAAAACATTTGTCCTCCACTAAGCAAATGGCTTATGGGAGGCAATGTACATATATTTTTAGCCTAAACAGCGTCTCCTTAACTTATTTGTCACAAAGCTGTCAGGGATTGTTCTTCTCTCAAGAAAGACTGGATAAAAATGAGGACACAACACACTTGTAATATCCCTCTAGGATAAGATTGTTTCTGTGCATCCAGGCTGCTCTAAAATTGGTCGGATACAAGCTGGACAATCTATGTTGGTTGTGGTCCCAGGTAATCTGGCAAGCACACATATAAGCCATCCGTGCCAAGCATTCACAGTTAGTTTTTTGGGGGGGGGTTGGTCCCTCCTTGATTTCTGTGCCTCTGAGATCCAGGTTGGGTCACACTTTCAGAGTTGAGCAGAGAAGGCAGTTAAAAACTAAATAGGTCTTTACAAGACTTTTTTTCCCCTGATAGATGAACTTTAATATGCTACGAGCAGAATTCTTTCATCTTTTGTCAGCCACTTCTATACAGTTGTTTTAGGGTATATTTTGTGGTAATAAGTCAGATTTTTGCAAGAAGTGAAAACAAACATTAAATTGGATTTTGAAGCTGACTGTTTGTGGATTTGGTCTGATGGATTTGTTGCTGTGTATGTGTCTGTCCGTGCATTTGGTAGGATGAAAGAGTGCTCATAACCTTGTGTAGCTTATATTGCCCTTCACAACTGGAAGCTTTTTTTTTATTACCAGTAGCTGATTCCACCACCATGAAATTACTTGCACACACTTGGAAGGAGCAGGTTCACTCATCCTTGCTCATCAACCTCATGACACAAGGATCACAAGTAACATCGGACAAGCTTCCTTTTTTTTATCAGCTTATAAGGCTTCCCTCCATTTATAATGGCAAATAGTGCCACAAATCTCTGCTGATACACTGCTTTCACACACCTCTATATCTGCGCCACACATTTATCAGGGGCCAAGAGACATGTTAGTAAGTAATTAATCACAGAGGTAGTGTCTGGCTGATAAATGTCAGCGTGTGGCAGGAGACAGGCGGGGATTAGCCAGCAGACCCAATCTTTCCCCGCTATCGCTGTGCCACCCCTGTTAATGAAGCCATCTTTGACAAATGCGGATGGCTGTCGCTTAGTAAACAGTAAAGTTACATGTGAGGAGGGGAAGGGTAGGCTTTTATCCAGCCTTCGTCTTCTTTTCAACCTTCCTGCTGCTTTGAGAAAGATGACCATAGCTGCATTAACCCTGTTTGCCGTGTACTGTTGCTGGCATGCCCGAGGAGATGAGGCCTGGCTCAAGATGGGCTCACTTATGAGGAAGGCTGATGTGGTGCTACTGTATCGCTCTGTAAAGCTGCTGGAGTGGTTGTGATATTTTCCTCACAGCCCTCTGTTCTTTCTGGCATGCACGATGCTGTCAGTTTTCCCTCTTTGTAGCGAGCTATAAAAAGATCTGGAGTTGATAAATGCTGCTCTTACAGTACACTGTTTGTGATGCCTGCATGTTCACGCTTAAATACATCAAAGGTTCATAATACAATGGTCCCATAAGCAACTGGCTCCAAATGAAAATAAGATCAAGTTTATGGAGGCTAATTAAATAGCCAAAGATCTGCATTTCCCAGCGGTATTTCTCTGTATTCTTTATTTAATCTAATTATATACGATGATTTCGCTGAGTAGGCTCAATCTGACGATCACTTATTGTAAGTAGCAAGTAAATATATGCCTTTACTAATGGATTACAAAAAAATTAATTTGATAATTTTTCCGTAAACACATCTGACAGAGCAGCATTTAACAAACAAATAATCATAATAAATGGCAGGGATTTAAATTAGTATGCACATTATTTGTAATCCTAATGGAGGTTGAATAATTACTTATTCAATGCCTAAATTGAGTTCCACATACTGCTCACTAGCCATACATAGATAGATCACCCCATGAGCTAAATGAGAAAATAATTTAACAAAGTTTTACTCTCTCCTGCGTCTCTTTACAGAGCGCTGTTATCCCACTGAATATTTATAATCCGTAACACAAGGTCTTTCTTCATTATGGAAAAAAAGCAAGCTGAGAGATAGATAATTGCTGTATTCAATGATCAGTGTAATTAGTTGCTGGCAAATTCCAAGTGAAGTGATTTTAATGTAACATGAGTGATGACAGCCCTGTGGTGCGGTTATCAAGGGGAAACAAAGCGGGGGGTTAAGAGACGGAAAAAATATGCAGAGGAATCAGACCTCTGAAATTTGTAAATGGTTGACCTTGAGTGCTGGTGTGTGACATTTAGAGAAATCATTTTTGATTTAAATCACAGAAATTGTGGTGATAGTGGCATAGTGGAGGGCCTGTCTGTGTCTTCTGGCACAGCCAAGTACAGTTTTCTTTCCTTTTGGTCTTTTTGAAATATACTCAAGCTTTTCTATTTCTGGTTACATTATTTTAAATGACTTCTTTTTTTCATTTTCCTTTCCTCTGTAAGGTAACTACTATGGAACCCCAAAGCCTCCAGCAGAGCCCAACCTGGTGCAGCCTGACCTGGTGGATCAGGTGTTGTTTGATGAGGACTTTGGTGGCGAGGTCCCCAGGAAACGTACAACCTCAGTCAGTAAGATGGACAGGAAGGACAGCGCTGTACCTGAGGAGGAGGATGATGATGAGCGGCCACCACTGGTCAATGGCTTGCCTGGTAGGTCAATGTCAAAGCATAAAATGTTAGGCTTCAAAAAAGGTGTACGAAAATAATGTGGCACTACGCTCTCCTGTGCAGATTGGTCGTCTTCGTAATTCATTTTGTCATTTTGCATCTCATTTGTCAGTCAGGATTGAAATATTTTGTACTCCTAGATCAAATGGTATTGCATATTATTTTTCTTAATGAGAAGCTCAGGGGAAGAAATTTCTACTTCCGATTTCTTACTGTTTATTAATAGTCAGTTTTCAGTTCTGTGTTTAGTTCAGTTCAGTAATACTTGACCCTAAAAGACCCTAGAAAACCCTAAAGCATCAAGAATTACTGTTAAGTCTTTTTTAGAAAGGGACCTGAGGACAGTGAGACCTGATCCAAATGCAAAAACAGGCCCAGAAAGAGAGCATTCAACAGGTATTGGATTTTTTCATTTCATTGTTAAATAGAATCCAGATTTTTGACATAATGACACTTAGATTGAACTCAGTCTGTGCCCTGTCTGACTTGGTTCCTGAGGATAGATTTGGGTTTCTAGTTTTGAAGGGACCCAACCGACATGTAAAGAACTTTAGGTCACAGTAATATCGCTTTCTAGAAATAATAGAAATAATGTTATCTTGGACTCTATTTTAAACGTGTGATGTGACAGCCCTGTTACCATTAGCGTTGAATAAACTCCCAGGTCACCTTGAGAGACTCTGATCTAGGAGAGTAGGATACTGTGCATGTGATCTATCAGAACAACTCCTGGGCTCTCTAAGGAGTGAATCTGTCCTTAATGCTTACAAGGAGAGCAGACCTGTAGCAGAAATAGGTTACATGCTACATACCATATCCATTTTTTTTAGTAGGAGAGAATTAGGGTTAAGATTGAGGCCAGTCCAAGCTGAAAATATTTTTTACACAATGAAACATTGTTTTGACAGTCTCAGCTCAAGCACTGCTTGCTCAGCTGTACAAGGGATTCACAGAAATCCAGTCTGTTTACACAACTGTTCTGTCATATTGAAATCAAACACAAAACGATGCCCAGACATTCAGGAGTTCTTTTTATGGAAAGCAACCAGTCACAAATGACTGCTCTGCTACAGCCCACAGCTGTGGCAAAGAAGTCTCAGACCAACCGTAGATGGAGAGAGTTATGGTCGAATGAAAAAAGAGGTTAATGGAAAATGTGAGCTCTAAGTCTCTGAACTCTTCACTGCAGCTTCCCCCATCGTTGCTTAGGCTGTCCTTATCAACCACAGTCCTTCTATAACCCATCTGACTCGTATCGTCGAGTGGGCCCTCACCCTGCTGTGAACCTTACTGATGAGCTCTCCTTCAGGCTTTGCCCTCAGGCTGGTTCTCCAAGTCTCTACATAGCTCGAGCACATAAAGCATCTTCAAACATGCCATCCGCACTTTGTCTTCCTTTAAAAATCAAGCTCAAGTGTGCGTATTTGATCAGAGAGGCAAAAGAGGAAAGTGTTTTAGAAGCTGTAAATAACCAAAATTTGAATGCTGCTGAAGGGCTCTGTAGTTGTTTCTTTTAGCAATTTATAGGCAATATAAAATTCTGGTGGAATGATCTTTAGGAAATGCATCCCCCCAGAAATGCTTTTATTGTGATTTGCGTAACATCTTTTGGCATTATCCTCTATTGTGAGGAGGGTTAGCGCCACATAAAAAGAAAAGGATGAAAACCAGTTATGTTTCAGTGCTTTATAACAATCTTCTGAGGAAGGCGTGGAGTGCTAACTGAATTAACAGAGTCTTTGTTGTATGTTTTGTGTTCATTGGCAAGCAGTTTCTCATTAAAGGGGAGTGTCTACAAATGTAATAGAATATATTTTATGTGCAGTTATAAAGTATTATCAAAGAGAAGAAGCCTCAGGGTTCAGCTGGCCCTTTCGATGTGAATCCCTGCCTGTATGATTGCAACCCACAGGAAATATACACATACATAGGCACAGACTTTTCCTCACACACAGTTTGCTCAGGCAAATCTAAAACTGCCCTTTGGCGAAGACATGCAAATCCTGTGTGTGACATGGAATCACCAATTCCCTGCAGCAAGCAGGAACACAGGACATAGGTGTTCCTGCAGGCGAACCTTCTACTCTCTCTGCCTTGCTTTCACTGTCTTATTCCCTTTTTAATATATCCATCCTCCAACGCTCTCCAGAGCACAAAGAGGGGGCAGACTGGAGGAAAGCAGTGCCCAGCTACACTCAGTCCAGCAGCACCATGGACTTCCGCACATGGAGCTCTCTTCCTCGTGACGACAGCTTGGAGCCCCTGCCTTTCAACTGGGAGATGGCTTATACTGAGACCGGCATGGTCTACTTCATAGAGTAAGTGAGACGTGAGCTGTGGCTCAAAGTGATAATGTCTGATACAGGGCTGATTAGAAATTGCAGTTATTTTAGTTAATTTTATAGAGTTTATAAAACATAATTACGCATGCTCTGAGTCCTGGATTATCAGGCAGTGCATCCTCAAATGTAAGTTATTACTCATTAACCCACAAGTTGCCATATATGCTATGTCATTCTATGCTTCTCAAACAGTGTTTATTTAATATTTATAACAAAATATAATTAAAATAACAACAATTAACTGATTCAGCCCACAAGAGTTGTTGTGTGTTGCCTGTGGCCAAAACTATTAAAACCACATCAATAAGTCACAAATATTGACCTTGGTGAAAAGTTCAAATATATCAGGGCCACTTTCACCTGCCTGCTGCCATCAATACTCATTAGCACAACAAATGTGTGTTGGAACTAATACACAGAAGAAAGTAGTCCCAACAAATGCTAATATGTGATCAGTTATTTTAGGAAATTGCTTTGCTTGTTTTGTGAGGTGCTGTTGAATAAGAGAAATCATAAGAAGATGCTGCTGCAGGTTAATCTGCTGATAGCTGGTGCAGTCTGTAAACTGGATGATGAGGTTTGAAATGTAGGCCGACTGACAACCGGAGTGTTGTTGCTTATGTAAATTATCGCATCTTACAGCTACAGTGAGGTATGCTGCTAAATGTTATGGTAACATGAAAGTGTTGTGTGTGTATCAATTGTCATACGTTTTTTTTTTATGTTTGCTTGTTTCTCATTTATCCATAATGAAGGACACATCAGAGAATCAGAGAGACTTTATTAATCCCAGAGGGAAACTGAGTTGTCATAGCAGCAACTACACAACAAACATCAAGCACTCGTATAAAATGAGTGTAGAAACAGAGATATTGGTAGATAAGTATAGGGATAAATAGGTATAAATATACATATAAATAGAAAAGAACAAGTATGTCTGCAAAAAGTTCAAAAAATATTTCTGTCAGTTTCAGCAGCGATATTAGGTTTGATCCTCTGTCTGATGATGAGTTGTGTAGCTGAGATCTACACCTCATTTCCTGTCACAGGAAAATTAAACCATAACAGCCTGACAACAGCATAAAAACAACTAAAAAGAAGAAAATGTACACAACTGTCCTTTGTTTGGATAGATAGATAGAACTGTATTAATCTCTCAGGTAGATTCCTCTGGGAAATTCAGTAAACTTAACAGTAAAATTCAGTTTAATAGTAAACTTGCAATATTTCTAGGCCTCACAGTGTATCCGATGTTTAAAAAGACAACTTAGTAAAGCTAAAAAACAGACCTTCTCTTAGGGTCTGTAGGTGTATGGGTTTACGTACAGTAAACGCAAGTGTGTGTGTTCACGACTTTGTGTTTTATTCGCATTTTGCTCTAAGCTACTTGTCTCTGAAGATATCAGAAGACCATTGTGATTTTCCTGCTGATTACACACTCCAGTTGTTTAACACATTTGAGGATAAATGAGTTTGTCATGTTTCACATCACATGGTTTTTTTTTTCTCCCCTCTGAAAAGGCCACCTAACCATAAACACTGTAATCTGACAGCTGAATATAAAGCAATGGATCAGATGTTTGCTGATAAATTGAGTAATCTTGTGCACAAGAGCATGTTACACGGGAGAATACGGCTGCCGTTTTTCCTGCTGTGATACATCTTTTTTGTTGGCTGCTTGTGCTTCAGCAGTGGTTTCCTTGTTTTCAGAGGTCTTTACTGAAGATAGTTCCTGGCTTTTATTTTTTTGCACTCCACAGTCACAATACCAAGACAACCACGTGGCTGGACCCCCGCTTGGCAAAGAAGGCAAAGCCCCCTGAGAAGTGCGAGGATGGCGGTATGTATACTCCTTTGCTCAGCTGGTTTTCTGAAGCGTACACTCATTCCATTAAATACTGCACATGCTTTTACACAGGGGCATACTTACATTGTATATGCCCTACATTACATGAGCCATCACTTCTCACCCTTTCTCACAATGAATCAAGCAACCAACCAGGATGAAATATGAATGTTTGACTTCTCTTTGAAATGGCACATCACCTAAGAGTAACCTTAAGCATTGCAGTGCTAAAAGCTAATTTTTCAAAAATCTAGAGCTGGAGTCTACTTTGAGGATTTTCAGACGTGCCTTTTTATCCTTAGGATATAATGTGGGCTTAAGTGCAAGCATAGACAGACAGCAGCCACGGCTGAAAAAGTGGGACCCTTCCAGCTTGTTTTTAATGGATTTTTACAGGCAAACGGAAAGCTAGTGAGTGTGTTTCTTCTGAAAAGCAACTCCAGTGCACTTCCTTGCATTAAGAGCTCATCTGTCTTTTCTTTTCTTATGCCTCATAATGTTCGTCAAGACATAACACTCACCAGCTATTCCAGCCAGATTGTTGAAAACCACGGGAATATGTCTTCTAGATTATTATGGCAGTATTTTCATACATACGTTCCAATGTTAAATATTCCAGTCAGGGGGGAAAGATACACTGGTAACTACCGCTGTTCCATAATGCCAGATAGATTCCCGGACCTCTGCAAAATATTGCGCATACTTCTCCCCTTTCCTTCTATTGGTCTGTTATCTTGTGAGCACCCAATTTGCATCTCCACAGCACGATAGCACACTCTTTTCCTTTTGCAGAGTTACCTTATGGCTGGGAGGAAATTGACGATCCACAGTATGGGACATACTATGTTGAGTAAGTAATACTGATGCATCTCATTTCCCATCACTCCATCATCACCACCAGTGCCAATTGCTTTGTCATACTTGTTCGTCTCAGATGCACATAACACACAAGCGTATTTTACCAGCTTGGTCAGTGCACAAGTGCATATTGCACAGCTCTGTGTACTTGGGCGGTGGGAAAATGTTAAGTAATATTGTCTAAAATAAACAAATGGTTGTAGCACATCTTGGGTGAGAATATTCTGAATTATGCAACATACCGAGAGAAAGCCTTTACCTGGAGAACACTTGAAGATTTTGATCAGGATTTTCACATTGTTTATCGGTGGGTGGCAAAATGAAACTCTGCGGGTAACATTGCAGTGACCTGTATATGAACACAAAACAGATTTTTCTCTCATCGCATTCTGTCAGTGTTTGTGTGTGCTTATAGAGTCTGTGTATTTGTCATTGCATATTGTTTGTATATTTGTCTGTGTGCTAAATGTGTATTTGTCATCAACATCCCGGCAGGAAATCTGTGAAACACAGCCATTGTAACAGCAGTAGAGAGAAATGGGGAGATTTTGAACTAGAATGCATGGAAGAAGTGGAGTGGGGGTTGGAAGACGAGGTAGCAATCTGTTGTGTTGAAAAGAAAATGGGAATTCTCGCATTGTTTTATTGCTCAGAAAGCATATAAACGCTCCTAGGTAGAAGTGACATGAGAGAGAGACCTGCACTGTTTGGACAGGGAGTCAATGGCATATAGATGGAGCTTGTACCTGCTAGTGTTTAGCTTGAAATGAGCTCACTATGAAGCAGTGGCTCTTGTTTGTATGCCAGGGGGACAACAGGCTGTTTACCTTGTTGTAGGGGAACAGGCAGTCAGGGGTTCATTTCCTATAATATTAAATGGCTAAAAGCAATGGTACTTTCCCCCACATAAAGAGGAGGCAAGTCAGAATGTACTGTATGTGTGCTGTGCTTGTGAATTTGTTTACTGGCACCACTATAGCATCCCTCTATCAGAAAATTATACTTCCTCTAAAAGGATGGTGCATACATAATTAACTGCAGAAAAATGATGCCGTAAGCTCAATAAGTGAGAGATTAGCATGTCTATGGGTGTGCGTGTTTGCATTCCAAGTCTCTTCTCACAAACCTGAACCTCTTTATGTTACAGCCACATCAATCAGAAAACCCAGTTTGAGAACCCTGTCCTGGAGGCAAAGAAGAAGCTGAGCCAGGAGACTGCAGCGATCCAGCAAGCCGCAGCAGCACCTTCTCAAGGTAACATTGCAGAATGCACCCCCCTCTTTAACTTCCACTGGGTTTATAAACGTTTTCCATGGTGTCATAACGGCAGAAGCCTGTGATAAAGAGCACAAAGGATCAAGTTTGCACGCGTGAAAATTTGCAAATGTTGGATTGCTAATGTAACATATGGGAGCTTTGTAAACATTATGGGATAGTTCAGCCTCTTGCATGAGTTTTGGCACCACACTTGGGTGTATACTACATGTAGTTACATGTGTACCTGTAATTATGTCAGAGAGCTTTCTAATTTGTACTGCCATTGCACCTCGTTAAAATCAAGCAACTGCATTATGTTACTGAAGTTAGAAAAAAAAATGCCACACTGAATAAATTTGTGAAGATCATCAAACTACCCAAGAAAAAGGGAAAACGCCTGCCAATGTTAAATGTCATGTGGTTGGTTGGGGTCGAACTGGAGGTGATTTACGTCCCCTCAAATGTTCTGAAGGAAGCTACGAAGAAGACGCAATTTAGCAGTGAGTGTGAAAAAATTTGGGGTTCAACTTTGAATTTTCATCACATGACATGCACCAAGTTCACCAAAAAGGACGGAGGGGTTTGCGAGGGGTGATTCTGGTGGACCAATTATCTGCAATAACGTGTATGTTAGCATGTCAAAAAAAATAATAAGAAATAACTGATTATATTCAGAATGTGTATAATAAAAATACAGATGTCAAAAAAAAATCAAGAAACTGCAGTTACACTGAAATCATCTAAAATGACAGACTCTCTGTTGCGTCTGTATCACATATTCTTTCCTGGTTATTTAACCATGTACTACTGTTATTTCATGATGCTGCGAGATTATTCAAGAGCACCAGAAGTAATTTAGTCTTTATTGTAGCTTATTCTATTTCTGCACTCACTGTAAATCATTTTGGACATAGGCATCAGCTAATTAGCTAAAATATAATTGTAATTTAATTACTTTGGCCTATCCTCTGTGTAGAGGCCTGACCTTTTTACCTCTGTCAGTGCGCTTTGATAAACGTGCTTTGTGGGAACAGAAAGCAGTAGAACGTGATCATTTTTTACAAGGTCAGCTGAAAAAAAGAATGAGCCCTTTCTTTCACAGTTTCCTCATGTAACAGACTTTTTTGTCAGCTCTCCAATTGTGGTCTGTTCTTTAAGTTGACAAGTTGACATTTTTCAACTGCAATAAACATCATGAATTAAGTATGTTTTCATTACAATATATGTATAATAGATTACAGTACTGCAGTAGTGGAAATAGACAAGCGCATAGCGCTGGCAGAGATTCAGGGAGTGAAAGAGGGAGTGTAGGGGAGGAGGCCGGCTTTTAACGGTGCATGTGGCAACAGCTGGTGTAACAGCACGTCAGAGAGGCCAAGTATAATCAGACATCTCTCTGCTCAGGTGTGTAGGGACCGAGGAATCCAACATCCAGCTCCTGATTACTGATTACACAACTTAGTGAGCTGTCAGACAGTTGCTATGATGAAACCTAAGCATCATCAGTTGTCGGTTACACCTCAGGCTACAATCCAGACACTCTGTTTTCCAAGAAGTTCAATTCCCAGGGAGTTCTATGTGAAGGAAATGAACTCTGTGAATACAGAAATAATGCATATTAATAGTTTATGTACAAATGTGTTTTGTTTTGTTTTTAAAAACACCACAGGCAAAAATTAGTTTTTTATGCAAAGGTCAATTTTGAGATATCAGTGAGTTTTGCTCCATAACGTGCCTTCTTTCAAAATATGCCTTAATTGAGATCCTATCTTGTTTGCTTATGTAAATGTAAAATTACAGAGTACTTGTAACACATAATAATATTATTAATGTAAGTAATGTAGTGTTTTCACAGTACATCATTTTTCTTAGTTGCATTGCTAGTTTAAGCAGTTAGTTTATTTGTATGTTGAACTGTGTTGTGTAATTCTTTCTTGCATCATGTGTCACTGCAGCTAACCACTAAAAACACACATGGCTATATGTGTTCCTGTTTGCTTTGTTCTGATCCATTATCTATATTCTTTGATTAAACTAGTAATTTGGTCATTTCCCTGATAGTCAGCTGCTGGCTTTGTAGGCTCATTCCTTTATAAAGACTACTCATGACTTGTACACTCTTGCACTCTTGCAAACAGCCGTTGCTGTTGCTCTACTGCTGCTTCGCAGATGTAGTAAAGAAGCTGTTTCCTCAACTATGCTGAATAATGTCACTGGAGATTTACAGTGAGACTGAGTCACACATAAGAACTCAAAAACCATGGCCGTTTGATGCAGTTGATATGATGGTTTTGTCTGCCTCTGGTGTTTAAAGTCTGCCCACAAACATTGGCACAGAGACCTCCCTTGGACTCTCCCACACAAGTACAGGCTTGTACACATCAAACTCACTTCCTCCCTTGGTTACTCTCTCTTTCACCCTCCTTTACCTCAGTCTATTTCTTCACACACAAATGTGCAGGCAAATGGGTATATCAGCGCTCACTGGGTTGGGGGGCGAAAAAACATCCCATGTTGAGTTTATCAAGCAATTTGAATGTGATTATGCAAATGGGCTTTGCTTGATCCATGCAACAGTGTGGACATCTGGAGTCCACACTGACTGTGATAAGTTACACTCGCTCACAGCCGTTCATGTCTGCAGCGAATGTTTATGGCTGCTGAACTGTTTCAAAGTATGAAAGCGCCTTCATTTGTATTCCTCACACACACCCTTGAAAGTTAGCCTTTATAAAACTGAAGGAAATGAGTGGGGGAAAGTGCATCTGTTACTTTTCAGCCAATTTACAAAGTTCTTGCCATTTTTTTAAACTGGATATAGGGATGGGCGCACAGCTATCAGATGTGACTGTTCAGTCATCGTGTGTATAGAAGCTGCATAAAGATATTAAGAGATACAAGTGAAGAACGCAGCATGCAGCTGTAAACCTTCATATCCATGTCTGTTAATTTCAGGTAAAGTATTCACATATACACAGCCCAAAGAGCTTTGCAACGTTTTTTAGTTTCTAATGGTAGCACATTATTTCAAAACAAGCATGTAACATTATACAAATTATGTATTTGTTAACCTGTCAAACTGCAGCTTTTTCAGCTTTTTATAAAAGAAACCATTTAATCTTGAACAGTTTACAAAATGTACATCCTCACCAAGTGTGATTAGGCTTTGAGATTTAGTGCCACCAACAAACTGCACGTTGTGATCTATTTGTTAGATTTGTTGGCGATACGAAAAATCAGAATAACACCAAATCCTTTGCTTGTTGCTGAATACATTTGCAAATTCTTAATGAAATAGTACTCCGACAACCACGTCTTTAACAAACATGGTGTCCGTGTAATAATGTTCGAGGCTGCATTTACTTCATACATTTCCTGTTGTTGTTGTCATTCTCTTTGTGGTAGAAGTTGTGGTAATAAGATATCTATCACTGAGATTTTTAGTGTCGTACAAAAGTCGTAATTTTCTCTTAGTTTACTGCATATGTGTCTCTTGGGGATGGTTATTTTGCCACAGTTCATTTATCTTCAAATATAAAGACCCCAGATAATGACAGTACCATCACACTCTCTCAGTATATAGCAGAATCACAGGAATATGCCCCATTTGTCACCAGCTGGTTTCCCTTTTACTGTTTTTGACTCAGAGCTATAATGCGGTCCAGGCCAGAAACCATCAGGCAGCAAGCGAAAAATGGTGTGTCCATGATCTAAAGTGCTGATACCACAGTAATGCCAGATAGAGAAGCTGCCCAGTTAAATGCAATGTGACCCTGACAGTCGGTTATCTATTGTATTGTGTATGCCACAGCCAAGCTGCTCGTCCATATTGATGTTGCCACTGACCTTAAGTTGTTCCTTTTTCCAGTTATAAAAAGTCTACAGTGATAAACCTTTTTTTTTCTGAGTCACTGATTGCAGTAGGGAAGGGATAACAGAGGACACTGTGGTAAATTGGATACTGTCAGAGGTACTATATCAATGTTCAGCTCTATAGTTTTCAAATGAAGGTAAATGAGTGTATCAGCTTCTATAGCTGTAATTTTAACTCATTTTATCTGTCTGACTGTGCAGGTTGGCAGGGAGGTGTAAAAAAGGTCTCTGTGAAAGGTTTATCTAGTTAAGGCTTACAGATTATGCCTGTTAATTAGAAATGACTAATTACGGTGTTGATCCTCAGCACATAATGTGTATAATTGAGGTTCAGTGCGGACACGGATGGATTTTGCTGTCTTTCAAGAAGGCTATGAATTTATTAATCATTGTTGCTGCCTTGCATGTTGTGTATTGTTTTGTTATTTCGGTTGTGTTTGATAAAAAATTGTATTCACTCATAATTTTATTCATGTGCATTCTCGCACATGCTGACACGTAGATGTTCTGCACAGGTAAAGGTGGTGCATCTGGCTTCACAGCAGACCCCAGCCAGCTGAAAGGGGAGATTTACCACACAGCGCTGAAGAAGAGCTCCCAAGGATTTGGATTTACCATCATAGGAGGTGACCGCACAGATGAGTTTCTGCAGGTGAAAAATGTGCTCAGCGACGGTCCTGCTGCTCAAGACAAAAAGATGGCATCTGGTGAGCAAAACCTTTGAAAATATGCTCACAATTTACTACAGAAAAGGACCAGTAAGAGCTGATACACTTATTCAAATAAACATTAAAATCCCATTTAGCTGGAAGGGAGATCCATGTGTTCGCTAATTTCTGCAAAGTTGCTGAAAATTCTTTTGTAGCTAACGTGTACCTACTGTGTTACTATGATGCACCTTCAGGTATCAATTTTACATCTGTGGTCTTCACTTAACCTAACACTGCCCCATGAGTTTCAGTAAATAAAGCAATAACAACTTTAGCATTGTCAGGGGCATTGTTTTATAGCAGGCTGATTATGGTGGGCGTGAAACCATCTAAAAGCTTTATTGTTCAGGTTCTGATCTTGCCTTTGGGCTGTCTACATAAACCAACAGCCATGAGGCTGTGTGTGATGGTTACAGTAGTATGATGTGACAGAAATCTACGCCTGTCTCAGCTCCTGTTGTTGAATACTGTTCAGGTCTGTTCAACAATGTAGTGAGCAAAGAGGGGACAAGAATAAAGTAGGAATGAATGAGATAAAAGGAAACTCAAACGGTACCAGGAGCTGCCAAAATGAAAATATGAGAGAGTAGTGAAGGGGAAAAGGACATTTCAGAGAAAAGCACTGTCTGGCAAAAGGAGAAAGGACTCCTCCAAGAAAAGTAGAGAGGTGATGTCTAGATTAAATACCACGGGATTAATTCTTTCTTGTTACATTCTTTCCTTTCTCCTTGTCTTAGGTGATGTGATTGTTGAGATTAATGGGGTATGTGTGCTGGGGAAGACCCATCCAGAGGTAGTGCAGATGTTTCAGTCCATTCCCATTAACCAGTATGTGGACATGGTTCTTTGCCGTGGATACCCGCTTCCTCCTGACGTTGATCTAGACAGCGACGATCCTCTTCCCCCTCCTCCTCCTCCGCCGGACACCCAGCCCCAGCAGGCTCTGCATGGTGGAGAGGTGGTGACAGCTGTGCCCCTGATCAATGGACAGCCACTGCTTGTCAAAGGTGACGTCCTCCATGGCTCCTCACAGGAGCTCCACTATGTTACTACTGATGCCAGTGGTCGTCCTGTTGTGGCTGCCCTGCCAAATGGGAGGCAGGGTGGAGAAGCAGCCACAGCGATGCTCCAACCAGAGCTGGTAAGCGTGCCACTGGTCAAGGGGCCTGGTGGATTTGGTTTTGCCATTGCTGACTGCCCTCTGGGACAGAAGGTGAAGATGATCTTGGATGCCCAGTGGTGCCGCGGCCTGCAGAAAGGAGACGTGATTAAAGAGATCAACAGGCAAAATGTGCAGTCGCTTAGCCATGCACAAGTGGTGGACATCCTTAAAGACTTACCAGTGGGCAGCGAGGTCAATGTACTGGTGTTGCGAGGAGGTGAGAGACTGAAATAACAACACATGTTTGCACTTGTCTGTCTGACTCAGCCTCATGCCTGTCTTTCTATCTGCCTAACCTTTTTTTGGGCATCTATAGATTCATGTGGCTCACTAGCAATAGATCCATATTGTCTGTTCTTTCTCAGCAAGCAATCTTTGTTTTTCCTCCTCAGTGTATCCCTCTATTATTCTTATGCTTTTATGCCCTTGTGTGTGTGACATAATATGCTATTACTGTCAATGCAACTCCAACAGTGCCCATGGGAGGTGAGGTCAGCGTGTTGATACTGAGAGGAGGTGAGGTGGTGTTGTGGCTGGTTGGGGGGCACTGACTGACTACACACTGTTGTTCTGTAGAAGTCTGGGTGATGCCACTTTGACTGCGATTTGTGTAAGGTCACCACAGCAGAGAATGCTGCCTTTTTAGCTGAATAGATCTAACAGTGCCACTGTCCTCTAACTCTTGCAAATGATGATCAGACTCAATCCATCAGAGTCGTATTTTCTGGCATGCAGACTCTACATGTTTAACATTTCTTGAGTGTTCCTTCTCTTTTCTTTCATTTAATCTACATCTTTTTATGACAACTCCCATTGAGGTGTAATGCTTTCTGTTACAAGTGAGTGAGCAGGAATTATGTAAGTGTGGGGATGTGCTTTATTCCAAGTAGCAAAGAGAGGAGAGTAGACACCCTACAAATGTCTCCTAAATCCATCTCCTGCCACCCCAGGGATTTACTGTGCTAGTCGATGAACCCTGGATTGGCTTTGATCATCAGCAGAGCGAAGGAGATCTCTGCATGCTTCTTAGGGATCCATAGCTAAATGGCTGTAGAGGGAACGTCCTCAGGGGCTTCCTCCCCATAGCCACACCTTGAGCCTCTGCCTCATATCCCAGAACACCCACGCTACGTATGCTCACTCTTTTGCCGCCATCACCACTTCCTGCTCCACTGACGCACTGCATGACCCCACAGTTAAAGCAGAGCTGGGCTCAGCTTCGTCCAGCCTGTCCAGTTAAAGCGCTAATGCTAGTTTTAACCGTCATTAGACAATTGCCTGTGGCGTGGAAGAGGATCCCTGTGCTCCTGTTTGTGGGATTGGTGGGCATCAGTGCTTAGAGAAAGAATAGAAGAAAAAGAGTTGTGTGGGAAGGTGTGTGTCATGTGTATGTATGGTACAGTTGTCTTATTTCATGCCATTGATGACTCTGATGTTGGATTGGGAATTTTGCAATGAAGCGGAAAAACACCGCTGTGTCTCCCCTTTTACATCAGGCTCCATTAAGCCCTCATCAGCCGTGTTAGCCCAGCTCCACGGGACTCCAGGCTCTAGAGCAGTGTTTGTTAATTCACTTAAAGCAGGGCGTTGAGATGGGGGGGGCTCAGATGGAATATGTGGGTGTGCTGTACAGTGAACAGAGAGCAGGAAGGGAATCTTCAGTCAGTGAATTATATGCATGAATCTCTAATGCCCTCACCCACTCTCTTACAGTTGATTTGTCACCTCTTCAGCACGTGTAGTATCTTGATATTTCTTATGTATCTTTAAACGCACATGAATGTATTTTCCCTAATGGATGATTCTTTAGTGAGCACAGCTCTCGAGTTTAGAGCAGCACTGGTTTATTTTTATGCTCGCTCTCTCTGTCGGAGAGTCACTGCCATCTGGTGGACAGTGACTCAGTGACTCTTGTTCCAAATCTTGTTTTCATTTCCTAATACGTTTCTGTTGTCTGTCTGTGTCTCTCCATAGGTCAAACATCGCCTGTGAAGAGTCTGAAGCCTGTGAGTAAAATCTTATCTTTGTCTATTTCTTCATTATCGTTTCCCCACGGGGGATATATCCCTCAATTTGATTTCAAAGCGTTTTGTCCTTCAGCCTAACCAGCTTCTGTTGCATTGAATTAAATGATAGCAATAAATTTGAATATTGATTATGTTTCTGGGCGCCTTCTTTTGTTTGCTCTGAAAAACAATCTTAATTACTTCCTTTCTGTATTCGTAGTCTTACGGCTATTGTCAGGGGACTGCAATGGTAATGAAGCATGGATGAGCCTCTGTAGATATCGTGGTATTATTAATGCAACAGTTTTAGATAAGAAACTTGCCCTTTCTGCCTGAAGAGGCCTGTCATAGCCTTTGGGGAAATCTTTACTTTTTAAAACATATTGTATCCAAATCCCTTTGCTTAGAATTTAAAACAATAGGAAGTAAGTAAAGTGAAACTGCTTGATGTTTTCATAAAAAGTGACCTTTATTGCTTTTGTAATCCATCACCGTTAGATGCTCATCCACTAGCTTTTGATAATGAGCCATATTCTACATAAATGGTTTTATTTTTTGAAAACATGAAGCAACATGTGTCTGTCAGAGACAGGAAATGACGGCCAGTACAGAAACTCTGGACATTGTCACAGACTCGGCACCTCAGGCCTTGCCTTACCACTCCAACACAAGCACCCTGCGCTCTGCCGATTCTCCCAAACGAGATGCTACAGAGATATACTTGAAGTCCAAAGCTCTTTTGGAGAGCAGACGTAAGTTTAGGCCAGCATCACTTGTTCATATAATTTTGTAAACCTTTTGTCGTTCTGGCCAGCTTTAAACACTAGGAAAATTATGCCCACAGAGCCTCACGCCAAAGATATAGATGTTTTTCTGAAGCGGGACATTGAAACAGGCTTTGGCTTCCGTGTTCTGGGAGGAGAAGGGCCACAACAGCCAGTAAGTGTATAAATGAGTGTCTTGAAAGTATATTTTAATTTCTGGTTAAAATTATACAATTTTATGTATTTATTAGACGCTGACCCAGTGGTCAGGGTCTGTTATTAACCCCATATCAGAATGTATTTCCCCAGGTGTACATTGGTGCCATTGTGCCTAATGGAGCTGCAGAGAAGGACGGGCGTCTCAGAGCTGGAGACGAACTTATTGGCATCGATGGCGTGATGGTCAAGGGTCGTTCGCACAAGCAGGTTTTGGATCTGATGACCAACGCTGCCCGAAATGGCCAAGTTATGCTGACTGTTCGTAGGAAGGTGATCTACAGAGGTGAGTAACAAGCCAAGCAAAACCTGGCATGTTTGTCAACTTTTTGTAATTAAAAGTACATTCAGGAGCTTTATTGCACTAGATTTTTTAATTTATCAGATTGGATTAGAGTAAAACTTTAATGTGCCCAAGTTTGCTTTATAGGTAGTAGTCCAACACATACACACATACTACACAGTGTAAAAACCTAATACTGGGTCCAAATGTACCAATGTCACCATAAAAAGTGAGGGAGACATTTCAAATTTGGTTTATTATTAATATCTTACGCATGCCATGCAGACTAGGAGCAGGCAGGAATCAAACCACCAACCGATTAGTAGATGACGAGCTCTGCTTCTGAAGTACAGCTACTCCAGACTAAGACTGCTGAACCAGCAAATCATCAAAAATAAACAGTAACAACATGTTAATAATGAATGCATGCATTTAAACTGAGTTGCATGAGGTGTAGCAGGTCAAAGAAAAGAGCACTAGGAAACAGAATGTGTCTCTGCACTTGTCATGCATTTTCATTTACTCCAAGTAACATTTTGGATATTTGGGATTAGTTGAGTTACACAAAACATTTATCCTGTTACCAAGATAGACACTGTCCAGCACAATCATCATCCATGTTTTGTAGACCTGTAGACCATATAGTTCAAAGACAAGACAGTTCAAATCGTCTCAGATTCCTCAAGGATACACACCTCAACACTCAAATTTTAAAAAGAATTGTTCAAGACAGAAATGCATTAGCATACGTATCCTTTCATATAAGATGTGACAGATGAAGATCCTCAGGAAATGGCGCCGGTGCTGGTGAATGGTTCTCCCAAACTACCTCGCCTACCGATGCCGAGTGCGCTGGACCACGAGTCTTTTGACATCACACTCCACCGCAAGGAAACTGAAGGCTTTGGCTTTGTGATCCTCACGTCCAAGAGCAAACCTCCACATGGAGGTGAGTTCAGTCTTTTCAGTCAGCTCAGTTCTCGTAATTCAATTAAATCAAACATTGTAGCATATTTCTGCATATGCCTTACTTAGGCTGAAGAAGTTGATAAGCATGTACATTTAACTAACCCATTCAACAGCCTCTTAATACACTTGTTGGTAACATATACAAAAAATGATAGGTCTGTAATTATTATTATTATTATTATTTTTATTACAAATATATCCAGAAAATGGCTAGCTTCTGGCCTCAAGAGTATTTTTTAGAAAATTGAAAGACTTTTTTGTAGATTGAATCAAACCCTGACAAAACTAAGTAATTGTGGGACCCTTCTTACTGCTATTGTGTTGAAAAAAGACAGTAAACAGACAGTAAAAGGCAGCTTCCTAACGGTCACTCTGACCGGGCCTCATATGTCTTTATTACTGCCATTTCAGTTATCCCACACAAAATTGGCCGTATCATTGGGGGCAGTCCCACTGACCGCTGTGGCCTGCTGCACGTCGGGGATCGTATCTCAGCAGTCAATGGACTCTCCATCATCGAGCTCTCTCATAATGACATCGTCCAGCTTATCAAGGAAGCCGGCAATGTCGTCACCCTTACTGTGGTTCCCGAGGATGGTGAATATTTCTGAGGATGGTGCATTTATTAGAGTAGTTAGTAGGTCTGTTCAGTTCAAAGTGGCCTTTTAGTGGGACATTAGTTTTGCAGCCAGGTAATCAATTAAATCGAGCCTTCATAAGATATAAATATTTTATTATCCATATTAAAAATTCACTTTCAAACTGAGATAGTTAGAAACTGAAAAATTAGACCCCTTCTTCACTGAAATGATTGTATGAATAAAAATAAAGCAAAATACCTGAGAATCCCTTTACTAGGATATTTTAAGGCTTCATTGAGGGTTGTTAAAGCAAAACCTTTAGCTTAAAATGAGCATTAATCATGTTAGAAGAATTCTGTATGTCTGCTTTTTTACCAGTAGGATTTTTCATTATTAATATTATAATATACTGATTCTAATATGTTGTTAAAATGTATTTTAGAGTACAAGGGCCCTCCATCTGGAGCGAGTTCAGCAAAACAAAGTCCAGCTCTTCAGCACAGAGCCATGGGGCAAAGATCAGCACTACAGGATGAGCGGTAAGGATTTAATCCCACAAAAGAAAGCTGAGAACCTGCATAATTCTTCATACATGTTTAGCGTTAGTAAGTTTTCTTGCAAGTGTTTGATTTTTTTTAAGTTATGCTAAACACTCAAAAGTATAAGAAAGTTGTATTATGTAATGCTGAGAAAGTGTAGACCGAGGAGGCAGCAAAAAGCTCTTAAATTGAAAATAAATTCAATTGTGGTTATGGTGATGCTATTTTTTAATTACTAAAAAACCTTAACGAATTCTTATAAACCTCCAGTAAAAGTCTCACCACAATAACTACTGAGCATGAAATAAATCGTGTACGTGGCAATGAGGTTGTCATACCCTCAGAGCAAAAAGCCAGAGAAACTATAAAGACACCGGTGTAATAAACATAAACGTGTGTAAGATGATAAGAGGTGTCGTGCGAGTACGCGCAGGCCTTTCCTATTTAACATTCAGCATTAAATTTCACTTTGTTTTTCATAAAAGCGTTTTCATTTGTTGGCCTGCGGCCTTCTGTTTACAAGTATCGCTGAAGGAATTAAGTGCATATGCTGTTTGTTCTAGTTATAACCTGGACATGGAGGAGAGAAAGGAAGGAGTCAACTGGTCTGACCACAAAACTCTTTCACTTGGTGAGACGGGGACGCTGTGTGTGACAGGGCCCAACCAGGTAAGAGCCATCCCCTTTTTTTCTTCCTTTCTTGTCTTAGAAACTATCAGAAGAGGTTATTTTTTGTGCTTACACCATCTTTCACAGGTTTATAAAGTTCATGCACTTATAATACTGATTCTTTTACGTTAGTTTCAAGTCATTATGGTCAAAGAATAAACTATAGCATCTCTAATATTCTCTGATTCTCCTAATGAGGTATCACTGATTTCACAGCAAAAGATGTATGTTAGTACACTTGTATATGTCTAAAAATGAGTGTTGTCTTCATGCTGCAGGGTTGTCTGACAGTGGAGTTAGAGAGAGGGCCCAGGGGCTTTGGTTTCAGTCTGCGAGGGGGCACAGAGTATAACATGGGCTTGTACATCTTGAGACTTGCAGAAGATGGGCCTGCTCAGCAAGACGGAAGAATCCATGTGAGTGCTCCTTTTATTGCAACGTTTAAATGGACACTTCTGAGAGGTTGATATCACTATCACACAGCTGACAAGAAATTACAAACAAAAACTAGTGGGGAAAAAAAAAAATCATAAAACAAGATGCAGTGCGATCAGTGTATTGTTTTGGAGCTCATGTTATTATCCTCACCATTGCTACATGCAGCATGACATGCTATTATAGAAAGCATTCCTTTGCAGAAATGTAGTGTTGCACATTTAGTTTGTGAAGGAGAGTCGTAAATCAAAATATAATTTGTGTCGCCTCGCGTTGACTGAGATTAAACTAATGAATTGTGTTTCAACAAGTGCCACTTGCAGTGTTGTAGGGCATGCGATGTTTTCTGGTGTGATCTGTGCAGCGTTTTGTTGCTTTCATTGTGAAATGGAATTCCACGCAGCAAACGGCGAAGCGATAAAGACGATTTTGGTTTAGTTCTTTGACGTTTTTTTTATTCGTGTTCATCATCATTTGTGTACTGTGTATGTCTCCACCAGTCTACCCATCCATCTCAGCAAGCATCCGTTTTTTAAGTTTGTGGCTGTTAACAGGAAGGTCACAAAGCAATTGACCCTGTATTTTCTCTTCATATGGTGGAGGTTCAGCAAAATTTGAATTTTCCCATGGGGATGATACTATCACATTATTATTACAGGAAGAGAATGGAGCAAAGTTCCCCAGTGGAAATCAATCCTAGGCCTGCCAGACTGTGATCTGTGGGCACGACTTTGCCTGTCTGAGGATGAAATAGAGTTCTCTGCACTGTGTAGCAACTACTGCATTTTTATTATTTAAAACAAGCTTCTTTACTCATTCAGTGATCTCTGCTTCTCCGTGAAAGCAATGCACACATGTACCTTTGAAATAATGAAAAGGCTGATTTCCTATCAGTGGAAAGATCATTGAAATGGTCATCTGAGAACATATTCTGATGAGAAACAATAGCTCTTTTCTTCTAGTGAGGGAGTCAGTGTGAGAGTTGGTCCAAGGTCCTTTGTAGAAAGAATGACTTTCTGATACAAAGGGATCACACAGTGGTTATTTTCTCATCACTTTGTTGTCTTCCCGACAAAGACAATGCTCCCACACTGTAAAAGTCAAAGGGTTGTGTTGAGGTTTCCTTGGAAATTTTTGTCTTTGAATCTAAATCCCGGCCTGCTGCACAAACAGGCTTGTTCACTCTATCTGATTAGAGTCTATCAAACTGACATGTTTACAAGCTTTATCCTGAGTTATTTTGTCATCTCCGATAATAGCAGGTACCTCCAGGGTATTACAAAACTGTGTGTGTGTGTGTGTGTGTGTGTGTGTGTGTGTGTGTGTGTGGGCAGATGTGTGTATGTGAGAAAGGGAGTGTATGCATGTGTGCATGGCATAAAACTTTAATTTTGTGTTTCAGCAAGTGTTTCAGTGAATTTGATTGGCAAAAGATGCAAAGTGTTCATAGGTATATTTTAGTATTACAATTGAATTTTCTGAATTACCGACAGGTTGGAGATGAGATAGTGGAGATTAACGGGGAGCCGGCTCGTGGCATTTCCCATACACGGGCTATTGATTTGATCCAGGCCGGAGGAAACAAAGTGGTACTGCTGCTGAGACCTGGGGCAGGTCTTGCTCAAGATGCGAGTGAGTACATCATTTGAAACTATTCAGTGCGTTGCGTTTGATATGGGCAAACTTTGTGCTTGGAAATGTTGTATTATCACTCAGGTTAGAATTTTTGGGGGTGGATTTAACAATGCAGAATAACTGGAAACAAAAGCATTTGGTTGCCAGTGGCTCAATGACATTTACAAATGGACATAATTGTAGACGTACGTGTGTGTGTGTGTGTGTGTGTGTGTGTGTGTGTGTGTGTGTGTGTAAGGGTGTAAGGGTGTGGGTGTTATTTTGACCTTTTCCTTTGCAGTGCAAAGACAGCTCTTTCCCCATCATTCCAATTTTAATGCTTATCTAAACTTTCCGTCTGCTGGCTGTAGCTTGATACTGTATTTAGCTTTGTTATGAAACTGGTATGCCAAAGTCAGCCTGTTCCTTTAATATTTTTTTAATATTTACATGAAGTTTTAGATAGAAACTAAATTGTTTTATTTCCTAAAGAGTTTAGCTGCTATTTCCCAGTTTACAAGGAAGGAACACTGCCAGTAGTTAAATACATGCACAAACAATAAATCCACCTAATGATAATTACTGCATCCATTTGTTAGTTGATGGAGCCTGTTTTGTAGTTAAGCCCTCATTGATTTCAATGTGCTTTCTTTGCTGTGTGTGTTTTTTTTGTTTTGTTTTTATTTAGTCATTAACTCTTTAACTGTCTGCTTCCTTTGGCGTTTCTTCTCTTTCCCCTGATGCAGGTAATACAGCTTCCTCTACTGTGTGCTATTACACTGAGCACCAACACTAACACCTTCACTGCTTTTACTGGGCTCTTCTCTTTTACCTTGGTAATTTTTTTCCCACATGCTTTCCCACCTTTACCTCTATATAATATAATCTTATTTACTTTCCCTGTTATTCTGAATTTAAGTATTTTGTGTGACATATTTATTATCCTTGCATACCTATGGTCTCATGTCAAATTTGTGCTGCTCTTGCAGGTCGACGTGATCAAAAAGTCATTTCACCCACAAGCTATTTTGGAGAAGTTTTCTCTGACACATCACCCCTTTCCTCTCCATATCCCACCGGGGCTTCCACCTTTGTTTCCTCTCCTTTCTCCAGCAAACTGACGCATTCTCGCAGCTGGAGCACACTTTCTCCACAAGGCCGCAAATCCCGCAGCAGCGGGGGTTTAAGCTCAGTGGAGGAAAGTGTTGAGTGGGCGGACACGGAGGGAGAAGGGCTCCTTCCCACCTCCAATGAGCATGTGAAGTTCTACAAGAGGACCAGGCCCACGAACGACTCCAGAGAGCTAAGCAGCCCAAAGAAAACAGAGGAATCTTTTCCTAAAGCCAAAGAGCAACTACACAGTCCCAAAAAGACTGAGAGTCAGGCACAGGAAGCAACAATGAACAGAAAAAGGGTGCCTATCACACAGACAAAAACGCAATCTGCCAGTCCTGGGAAGTCCGCTCACGTTGGACAGCAAGGGATATCAGCCCTGCAACGCACCGAGAATCAACAAGGCCTTCAGCAGAGATTAAAGGATTCATCCAGTAGAGAAAGCTTAGGTCATGAAAAGAAAAATGGAAAAGGGGGGACTTTTGAGATTGGAAAATACCCTCAAGGATGGGAGATGGAAGGGAGAAGAGAAAGGACCAAGTCTCTCCATGAGAAAGAAAGTTATAAAAGAAGGTCGATTGGGGAATCTCACCGCCACAGGACATTTTCTAGTACACTAAGAGAGAGCGAGAAAGGTACAGGTAAAGACTCAGGGCAAAGAGACGTTGATGCCAAGGGTAAACTTACAGAAAACAGGACTACGAGTAAAGAGACTATTAGCAAAAGAGAATCACCGCTGTCTTTTAAAAATGTATGGCGTAGGAAAGGTTCTGTGAATTCACCAAGAGATGTAAAAGGAAGAGAAGACACATTTTCTAAATCCAAAGAAGACAGCTTAAAGGACAACTTTGTGGCCTCTGTAAACAACATTCCTGGAGCCCTACAAACCCTGAAGGGACCTATTAGCCCTGGCCCTTGGAAAACGCCCAGCTCAGCCAAAATCCTCTCTGAGGCAGAAGTCCTCTGTGACCCTTTGTGATGGAATATTGAATCACAAGGACGTGAGCTGTGCCATGGAATATTTTACAGTATCCTCAGTGGATTATTTTTCTGAGTTCTTCCATAAAACAGAGAAGTGCAACATGGTGCCACATTTATCCATTTTAGACTGTGGCCAGATTTGTATTGTGGGAGCCCTGTGACATCACATGTGGCATGTAGCAGCTCCCCTCCGCCTTGTCTGCTGCTTTAGCATCTTTGACGTGGGACTTCAGCATATAGGACATGCTCGGGGCCTTGTCAGACCAGACATTCAGAAATGTGAATATGTGCCAATCCCGCGAGCCTCCTGTGGAACGACGACTACAAACAGCGCTTCACCCATTACAATGCAATGGCCCATATGCAAAGAAAAGAGAAAGGCCCTCGCCTCTCGTCTGTAGAATATACAGTGTGACTCATCTAGGGTTTAATTTTGCTCTCAGTGTCATTGTTGAGTATTTCAACTGTATTCTTCTTATCAGTTTGCTCAACTGCATGCAGTCGGTCCTTCTGTTTGTTTTACTGCACGCGTTCTGTACATCGCTGAGGATGAACCCATTTCTTATTTATAATTTTCATTCTGATCACCAGGCAAATACAGCAAGTGTTACTGGGTAATCTAGACTGTTCTATGGCTATAGTCATGACACACCTTCATACAGACAGTATCATTTAAAAGACCAGAAACTTGTGGTTTGAGATCTTGTTTACCATGTGTATGATAACTAACCAGTGTGTAATTTATTGAGGTAATAGATGAATATATGTATATGTAGCTGTACCAAGCCATTCCGCATTTTGATAAAGACTTTCAGAAATTTGTCCCATGTTATTTGAGCTTTCACCTTATTTCCAATGTACTTCAGTGGTAGGAATTACCAATGAAATTTGTAGTTCATGAAATGTATAGATGTAACGTACAAACTGCTGTACCAAATGTTTAAAATTGCTCAAAATGTGTCTCATTGTGAAATATAATATATATGTATATATATATATATTTGAATGTGTGTTTTGGAAATTCTATCTATTAATTCCATTGCACCGCATCTGCCCTTGTAGCAAAACAGATTGACCATGAGTTGTATTTAATTTGTGATGTATACTTGCTACCAAAACATTGCATTTATTATTGGTTTTTTTTTATTTTTTTATTTAATGGTTGTTTTTTTTGGTTTTTTGAAATGATCACTGTTAAAGGGGGAAATGGCAATTTATGTAATGCTGTGCAAGTTCTGAATCATGTCTCTGGTTGTTTTACATGTGCTTGTTGATGAAAAGATAAATGAGGGTTTATATTGTAGGTACTGCTGTGTGATTATGTGCCAGGGTAGCTTGAAGGATGAAAGAGGCCAGAGAATGATGTGGTTTACTAAGATACCGAACAAGCTGCTGAAATAAGGCATGTATACAGAAAACTCTCCACCTTACATATTAAAGGGAGCCAATAGCACAGAGAAGACCAGTGTAGTTTTATAATGTGCAGTCTATAAAAATAAGAAATAGTCAGGTTTCACTGTTACTTTAAAGAGGACATATTATGCTGATTTATAGCTCCATACTTTTATACTTGGACACCATAAGAGTCGCTTTGCCTATTTGCCTAATAATAATACTCGTTTAAGTTATATTGGGCCGCTGTGTAGCATTCAGGTCATTCTCTGTCTGGAAAAATGTGTTTTAGTTCCTTGGCCCTTACCTTTATGCCAATTTTTTTTCTTATTGGCAAACAGAAGCAGCAGGTGGGAGGGGCTGCTGTGTGTCTTTAGCATTCTTTCAAATAAAAAACTGTCTAAAAATAACAAACCATTTAGAGCAGTCTGAGCTTTTGGCTCACTTGGATTACTTGTGTGTACAATGACCTCATTATTTGAGGTTTGTGCCAGACAGAAAATGAAGAAAAGCATAATAGGTCCGCTTTAAAGGATTTTTGAAGTGATACGCAAATATACTCAGCATACTTGCAAATACAACTTTGAAATAAACACATTCAGATGAGCTCAGGGAAAACTGAATTGTAGCAAATGTGTGATAAAGTCGTTATCAATGAGAGCTGAATGGTGGTTGAAGTCTGTGATTGTATAAAGGAGTTTTCAGGTTACAGATCCCTAGAGGATGTACTTTGAGCCAATCAGTGGTAGGCTTTTGTGCAATAGTTTGGTTGGTTGAATGAGTAAATCCAACCCCGAGTGCTGAAAAAAGTTCACTCTGGTTCAGAATCAGATAATATCCTCTTTTATTGTATGTCCCCTGCACTGTAGTACAGCTTTATGCTTTCATTTGAACAATTTTGTTTGACATCTCTGCATCATACTGTGGCCTTGCATTGCTTCATTAGAAAAAAAGAAAGAAAAAGAAAAACACAATCCTTGTGGTATCTTCTACATTCTGTAGGAACAGTAGATGTAAATGTTTGTACATTGTACAGCACCTTTATAAATACTTGCCGAGTGCTCTTTTGGGGAGAAAAAAATAGAGGTATATTAAATCGCTCCATTATTTTTTTATGTAAAAAAAGAGAAAAATATTTAAAAATGGATTGAAAAGGATAGGCAATGACCTTGATATGGTATTCTGTTCATGCACTGAAAAATAAAGTTTTGCTGAAAACATGTTTCTGGATTTGTTGTATTGAAACTGAGCTGCACATAAAATGATCGTCATCATCTTATCTGTATAAATGTAAAGCAAATAACAATTCAAGTGTCACACTTTTGACATCTAAGTAATTTGTTGCATATATGATGCAGAAGAATATGCTACTGTTACTATGGCAGATTTCCAGTTGTTATGGTAACTGACTGAGCTATAGTTTTTCAATTACAAGAGAAGCTGTATATATTTCCAAAGCCATCGTGTCTCATGTGAACATATTTAGAATGAGAATGCGAATCTGCTCAGAGCCCCAGTGAAACCCTAAGAGCGGTTTTGAATCCTCTATAAATTTTAGGCACCATGAAAGGAATAAATGATAAGATCTAAATGTGGTTAGGTGTCCTACCATGCATTTTACACAAAGCTGAAACACTTCAGTAGAAGGCTCATAATGTATTACAAGTGCTTTGAAAAGATTTAACTGCAAATTCAAAGTTGTAAAAGAAGTACATGCTTGGCCTAAGAAGTTACTTGTACTAGATTCTTCAAGCAGTAATTTAAAGTTGGGTTAATTCCAAAGAATCACAGCTCAAATATCTATTTCAAAAAAAATTTAAGCAAGGCTTAACAGTGCCTTTTTTCTGAGTATTTTGTGTCAAATTCATTCAGTTAGAGAGTAATGCCTAAGATTTTCACTACATGCATTTACAGTTGTTCATATACAAGCTTCAGCTGAGCTCTTAAGGGTGTTTTAACTGTTAAAACTGTGTGTAAAGTACTGAACCTCTGCATCTCAATCATGCTAAGAGTTTCCCCTCTGAGAACAGCTCAGCCATTGGAAGAGCAGCCTAAACAATGAGTGGATGACTTACAATTAACTTAATTGTTTTAAACGGCTGAAAATCATCATATCTTGTGTTCTACTTTTGGTACTGGGATGAAAGAATGTGTTGAAGACAGGGTGGAGCTAGACTTTCAACATAGAAGCAGCAGAACATTCCCAAGGAACTCTTCTGATAAGATAATATTTAGAATCACAGTTATTTAGAAGAGGCTTTACTTAAGGAAAGGTACTAAAGCAGTGCACTCAAAAGGATTAAGTAAAAGTATGTTAGTATAATAAGGAAACCATACTTGATATAGAGCAGGAAATGGCCCTGATAAGTCCCATTATCACTCCTTTAATGGCCGCTTAACGTTGACTCAAAAAGTCGCTAAAATTTCCTGTTAAAAAAGACCAAATTCAGAGCAGAAAGAAGCCTCTTTAGAGCCTGTAGGAGTAGAAGTAGTGACCATAAACTCATTAGGTAATTTTGTTTACTGAGGTCTCAGATCAAGTGGAGTAAAGAGCAGTTTTCCCAGTGACCTCCATGCAGTAGGAGAGATTTTTGAAACCAGAAGTATCGTCCCCTGTTGCCCAATATAAAGAATAGTACTTTCAGGAATTAAGTATTGGTTTGACATCTTTGGAATCAGAAACTACACTCAGCGTTTATATAGGGTGTATGATCATACGATCATTTTAAAATCTGCAGACGTTTTAGTCTCTCTATGAAAGTCCAATATACAACCTCTCGTATTCCAGTATACATGAAGACACTCTTATAGGCACTTTTATAAAAGTAAGCCTCCATAGAGGATGTGAGGAGGTGTACGAAAACTACAAAGTCACTGACAACATCAAGCAATAAGGGATGAAGTAACTACTGGTAATATATGTTATTACTTTCTTATTATCAGTATCAATATTATTATTTTTATTTTTATTTTTATTGAAAAAAGTTGTTACAGTGGTTCCAATATAGCATAACATAAATGTTACAGACACAAAATAGATGAAAAAAATCTAATAAAAGAAGTCTTTATTGTATTTTACTGCATGTTACAGCAACAACCTCCAAGTCCTATAATGGAAAAATAAACAACACACACTTTATTTTGTCACTTAATAATTTAATTAGTTACTCTTAATAAAAGTGACATTAAGCTTGTTGGGACTATACATTTTGATGGATCACAGCGACCACATTTCTTAAATTGCAGTTTATCTTTTTAGCACTAGATGTCACTGAAGGACATTAGTTCCTTAAAACTTTTTTCCCGCCAGTCATCAGTTGTTGGGGTTTTTTCTGAATGAAGATTCATTATTTCTTGTCACCATTAATGACAGTAACAGAAAAATGGATGTTGTTTTAGCATGAATGAGATGAACATTTTAATCCTGTAGATTGATTTAAAAAAATGTGATACTGAGGCAGAAATGGCCCTAACCAATCTGGCGCCCTAGGCAGGTTTTTGGTTGGCGCCCCCTACATCAGCAGTGTAGTGTAATGTTGTAACAAATAATATTTCTATTAAATAAGCTTTACTTTGCATTTTAATTAACGTGGGATTATTTTTTGTATTTAGATATAATAATACCAACTTTTTTTTTTCAACATTTGTGGCACTGGCGTGGCGCCCCCTGATGGACGGCGTCCTTAGCATTTGCCTATACGGCCTATGCCACGGGCCGGCCCTGTACTGAGGGGAAAGGCATTTCCAAATGAGAACCTTGCATGCACAGACCTGCCATGGCATAGATAAGGCGATGCTTCAAAAGAAGGTGGAGTTAAACTGTATGATAATGCCACTGTTTACGTCACCTTATTGGTATGTCTCAACATTAGAAAGGCAGGTGAATTATTCAGCAGTGTGCTGTAAAATTGGCACCCTCTTCTCCACATTATCCGACTTGATGAGAAGCAGATGGGGGCTGCTGAGAAGGGAGGTGTCTTAATCAGTCACTTGAACATGGTGTTCTGAGAGATAAGAATAGCAAAAGAGACCTGAGCACAAGAGGTTGCTTGTCTCACAAAAAGCAGTTACCCACTAATGCTACTTTTTGAATATTCCTTAAAAGGGAATAAGGTGCACCGCATACTTTTTATAGTTTACATTTGATTGATTTTACATCACTGCACTCACAAATGGGTTGGGGCTCTAATTTCTTTCATTAGTTTACTTTTTAGAGTGATGCAGGCTGCCTCACTAAAAAAGTGGATCCCATATGCTGGTGTTTTCGCACTTCTTAAAAACACCCCAGTCTTTTACTGTACAGATACGGGCCACTTGCGCTTTGTTGTCCTGTTTCTAAGTGATACTAGATGGTTTCTCCGGCAACTCTTGGGTGGAAAAAGAGGCAGCCCCTGTCAGCGGTTTTGCTGGTGAGCTTGGAATTTAGACAAGATTATGAGGCAATGAGGCGCAGTCCCCTTGTTGAACAAAGCCCGTATCCATGGTAAAAATCCAAAGCATTTAAAGTTACTCAGACTTTGACTGTATAAAGTGCTACGAAAACCCAGGGAATCCCCGATTTCACAACTTCAGCCATGCCTTTCCTATTTTCACATTTTTGTTTAGTTAAAGTTCGCACCCAAAAGTGGATTTTTGTTATAGTAGATAATGTCTACCACGTATTCCGTTATATAGATTTATTAGAAATAACTGTTTTCACCTTTTGAGGACCCGTGAAACAAAAAAGAGGTTTTAAAGATACAGAGAGGGGGTGGCCGATTTCTTTTCCAAGACAGTTATGTTTCACCTTTTCCCCTCTTTGTACTGTTTGGAGATATCACCGCTCCTACTCTATTTGCAGGAACAGATTGGGCAGTTGACTAGGCAGTTCAGGTTGCTGCCAGTTGCAAAAAACCTCTCACATGTATATATAGCGTATAAATTTAGCAGAACTTCCTTTAATACTTCCAAAGCATTTCAAAATAAACGAAACAATTTTTACGTTATATTAAATCCATATTTCATACGCATATAATTATGTCTACATATACATACACACATACCCATACCCAATATATGCACATGCATGTATAAAAACATGTGTGTGTCTTTGAAGGATTTAAGCAATAAGACTGGACATAAAGATTGTACATTAGGCCTAAACGTGAGTTGTTTAAAGACTATGAAGTGTACAATCAGTTGTAATTATATGTGCATATCTAAACATTTAAACATGTAAAACTGAACAGTAAGAATTTGCACGTTACCTGAGTTGTTTACAGAGTGTGAAATGTGAAGTTGTATGCGCAGGTTTTCCTTCAGAAAGCTACAAATTCATACATCAATATTATATATTTTAAAAAAAAAATCACAAACATGTACTTACCTTAAAAGGGCTAGTTTCCTAATTCAGTCGGCAGTTTTCTTCTGGAGAGGGTTATTCTTTCTTCTAGGCTTTTATTTTGGAGGAAATTACTTCACTTCCGGTTACACGTGCAATACAAACAGCATGACGCGTTCGCAGACAGCAGAGAGTAAAGAGTTGACAGTCTGAGGAGCGGTTCAGGTCTCTCTCTTGCCTCTCTGAGCAAGTTGCGGTTAACGTAAGGATTTTCCAGAGTTGGACCAGGATCTTTTTTGTCCTTCTGCGACATGGAAACTCTATTGGACACACAGCGAAGACTCAAGTCCCTGCTATTAATGTACCTCTTGGTCGTAAAGGCAGCAGGTCAGTAGTAACACCATTCTCGGGGGAGTCTGCTTAATGAGATAATAATTATCAACCAAGTCACAGGAGAACTCTTAACTAAGAGAGCCATGCTACATTTTTTTACTGTCTGAGCAAGAGGAAAAGAAAAGTCGCCAACTTCTATGAATATCTCTGAAATGATCAGCAGCTGTTGAGATATTTACAGTTATACAGTTTTATACATTTCACATTGAATACCACTAGCTGACACGAATATTTGAAATAACTTGTCATGATGAGAAATACCTACTATTCTACCATACAGCGCACTCCTGCGATTATTTTGAAGTAAACAAATTTAGAAAGTGAGAAATAATATTTTGAGCGAAGATGTCAGTTAAGCTAAGACAACCAAAAAGTAGAAAGTTTTTCTTTTTCTTATATTTTTAGTAGTTGTTTGTTTAGTTCAGTTTACCTGGGTTTACTTATCCACAACTTTAGATTTAGATTTATTAATGACCTCTTAACATTTCCAGTGGGAAGACCTACTGAAATAAGAAATCCATGGTTACTTATTAACACTTACATTACCAAGAGGGACAGGTGAATGCCTGGTTCAGCATTATAATATGATAACATACTACCTAGTCTGTTGAGAGAGAAAAAAAATAGCCACAATTTGTTGTTCAAACAACATATTTGACGTCTTAATACCCTCAAAAGTAAGTTTAACATTTATTTCACCTGCTAAATATCTGATTTACACTAAGTAGAAGCACATATAATTGAAATCAATCTTGGTATTTTTAATTAGTCACAAGTGGTTACTCGTTTTCTTATTTTGTAGAAAAAAACAACATCAGTAGCAACAGAGATCCCTGTGATCACGTGTTAAATAACCAGACATTCCCAAGTTAGATCTGGGAATGGAGTGTAGTTCCATGACCAGATACCAGTACAAAGCCATAGCCATAAATACTTACACATGTTGATACATATAAGCACGCACACACTGAGGCACCATACATTGAGCCATGTGTGGAGGTGGCTTTATTCCAATGAACTAATGACCTCTGCGAGCACACATACATTACAAACCTACATACAACCATCACAGCACAATGAACCTACAGTGAACCATTTTTTTCTTGTCGTTTTGGTTAAGTATTCCCTTTATAATATAACAGCAAGTATCCATTTACAAATGCCAAGATTAGTCAACATTTCTTCAAACAAAAAGGTCCCTGTGATATAAATTTCATTACTATGCACCAACCACATATGTTTAGGCTTTTTGAAGCCAGAAAAGAAAGTGACCCAAAATTCTAACTGTATACGTTAACACACTTATCAATATTACAGCTTTATCAGCTATATAGCTCCTGTATCAAGACACAGGAGAATCTCATGGATTATAATGAATTTTTGATTAAATTCATATTTAGAAGGAAGTTTTAGTTCTTGTTGTTTGTTACAGCCTCGTGAGAGAGGTAGTAAAGAATAAATCTAAAAGTAGAATTTCAATGTGGTTTAGTGTACATACAAATGTGATGTAATGTAGGTGGCCTTGTTTTCATATTTTTTTACAAAACACACAAAATAAATTAGTCTTTTTTCCAGAGATAATCTGAGGATCTTCTCTGGAAAAGTCATGACTGATTAGTCAGTAGGCTCAGATTTCATATCTACTGATCGCTAATCTAACCCGCTCTGCGGTAGGTTAGGTTTGGGGGTAAGTTATATTGCGGTAAGATATACTTTAGTAAGAAATAAACCGCCTTTGTAGTGCAAAAACCCCAGGGTTAATTAGATTTGTTTTTAAAATCAAATTGTATCTATGTAGATATGTTGGTAGCAACTTTTCCTGTTTCTGTGTTTATTTTTTGTTTGCCATTCAGACATTCCAAAATCAATCTCTACAATCTGTGCATGCCAAAAAAAACAAAGCAGGTTTTCACTGAATGAATGAATAAGGCTTTAGTTCTTGGCTGCATACTCTAACATCAATTTCATTTCCTCTTGGGGTTCTCTCAATTTAAAAAAATAGACCTGCTCCAAAACCTTGTGAATGCAAGCTTACTTATATCAATCTAACCTTTTGTCTGTTATAGATATAGAATGATCAAATACATTGTACACCTGCATTTGCATTTCAAAGACCAAAGACCTTTGTAAACAAGCACCTGGCTTTAGGCTTTACACTCTCCCCCTTTGTGTGTCTGTGTTGGGAAATATTAGGAAATATGGGGAATCTCTTCCTGTGTGTGCAAGAAAGAAAGCATGCAGGAAAACACATTTTTGTGGGGCAACATTATCTCTTTTTTTCTTAAATATTCATTGGAAAACTTAGTATTAAGAATTAAGTGCATCTCATCACTAAGGGTATAGATTTTTTCTGTATTATGATGATAGGAACCTATATTTTCAGTGTTTTTATACAAATAACAAAATGTGACTAACTGAAAATAAGGATGTTAACACAAACTTCACCGAAGGAAGTTATATTATCCATTAGGTTATTTATAAAAGTTGCCTTGCTAAAAAAGCGATTTCTGATGAGGAATTAGGATCGACAGATTATTTTCATTCATACATCATGTCTTCCACTAAAGCCTATAAGTTATGTATGATATTGGCTGAATTTGTATTTACACTTTTAATCGTTTTAATCAAATTTTCATGTTTAGTGTTTAACTGTCATGATTACTGATTTTAAACCATTTTTTTTATTTTACTTCCAGGTGACTGTCCTAAACCTGAGGGAGGGAACAATACTGTCCTAACCAATGAATCACTTCTAAAGAATGTTTTCCCAGAGAATATCATGGTCACGTTAGAGTGTTCTAGTGGATATATTAAAGAAAGCGGCTCTGAATTTATAACTTGCATTAATGATCAATGGACTGAGTCAGAGCTCATCTGCAAGAGTAAGTCTTGTCTACTACTGTTATTTTGTGAGTTAATGTACAGCCTGAAACACCTGTAGTGATATCTGTTGTTTGTTTTTTATGCTACAGAGAAAGACTGTGGTCAACCTCCACCAAAGCCACATATGAAGTTTGATACAAGTCAGGGTACTCTGTTTGGTGTTCTAGTAAAAGTAACTTGTGAAAAAGGGTAAGTATAAACCTGTTTCACCTTCTCATACTTATCTGGTTGAGCATTGTGTTAAAATATAAGACAATCCAAAAAGAAAAATGAAAATCATGAAGTAGTGACATACAAAAATAACTAAAATATTAATGTTCATTTCCAAACATTGCATTTCTTCATGCTGTAGTGCTAATCGTTGTCTGGCATAAAGTACTGATAAATGACTGATGTCTGTGCAATGGAATGCATTGGCTAATGGAAAATATTTCTAAAGAAAACAAAATACATATGAAAGACAAATAGATTGGTTGTCGTAAGATGTTACTTTGTGGTTTTCACTGGCTCTCCTTCTAACAACGGTGATTGATTCAGTTGTAAAAATGTTTTTTCAGTGCATTGCAATTTTATGACTGTTAAGGATGAACATTTCCTTAAATTAACAAAGCAGCTTTGTTTTCACTCTGTCTTTTTACAGTTACCAGATTAGCGGGTCGAGCTACAAAGAGTGCTATGATCAAGGGTGGAGTGGCAGAGCTTCTTGCGAAAGTAAATGTCTTCATTTGTTAGCTATCAGTCATAGAACTGGTCAAAACTCTTACTTAATGTTTCTAAGACAAGCATTTATTCAGAAACATTCCTCCAGTCTTCTGTTCTGTTACTTTTTTTCCTCAATGTCAGTTATTAATGCCACTATATATAAGGAGTAAAATGTGTTACTTTGTGATCATTTTGTGATTTTTATTTTTTTTTGGAGTAAAGAGGTTTTTCTGTTTCTCAGTTGTAACATGTGACAAACCTGCAATAGCCAATGGCAATACTTCATGGGATTCTGGAGATGACCCAGAATACAACAATACCATACGTTACACCTGTCATGAAGGATACACCCTCATAGGGAGTGATACTGTTGTATGCGATGAAACTGGTGAATACAGTCCTGATCAACCTGTATGCAATGGTAAGGCTGATGCATCAGTGTGTTTTACTTGTTACTTTTAATGTTATGATGCAAAGCAGGTCGAGGTGATCATAATGTTTTGAGAATATTACATTATTTTAGGATCATACAGATGTTTTTGTATTCTTCAATGTCGTTTTTATGAATGTTCTTTATGCTGACCACTTCCAAACCATGCCATATTTAATGTATCGATTTGCCATTATCTTCAGCTTTTAATATTTACCTTTTATAAATGTTCTCCATCCATGTAGTTTACCTACTAACTCTCACACTAATTCTAATAATAACCTAACATTGTATTAACTAAAGCGTAAATTTTCCCCACAAGAGTTGTTGGGGGCGGGGAAGCTATGTCAAGGAGCAACAGCTGCTGCTGCTGTGCTTTTTCATTTTAGTTTTTCCTTTGACATGATATGAAGGAAAGTGTTTTCTGTTTTTATTCCTATTTGACCGAAGTGACAAGAGCGCCAGCTACTACTTCTCAACCACAAGGTATATAAAGAGAAATAATGGATAACAGTGGTTTTACAGAATTATATATATTGAAATATAGAGAATAATTATGAATTATGTGGTTTTACCTCTTCCATTAAAAAGCAGTTTTTCTCTTCCTCATGCTAGTTGCCATAACGGATTTGACAACAACTGACGCAAAAGTATCCACGTTTTCAGATTCCTCTGCTGCACCCACAGTTCACAGAACTCAAACTGTCACAACCAGTTCAATACCAAATCTCTCAACTTTACCAAAAGGTACAGAAAAACTCTGAATTGATACTGTTTAATCACAGGAGCATGAATTTATTATATGCATGTTGCATGCATCTCAGAAACGACTTTTCATATAGACCTACTGTTATCCTGTTGATACTTAAAAATTTGAAGTGAAAACTTAAACATTTCTTGAAGCTTTGTTGAAACTTGGGGAGAATTATTCTATTTGTGCTATTCAAAAGTTTTCAGAGGAAAAGCTACTTCTGCCGGTATTCTGTCAACTACATCATCATCCTTTCAAGGTAGAGAGATGTCTTATAAAGCACTCAAGCATTTGAACCTTCTTTTTTAATATTTTGGCCTGTTTTTACGTTACATTGACTACCAAATTGCATATTGTACACCACTGAATGTCATTACTTTGTGGAAAGAATATAAAGGTTCTCGAAGACTTTGAACAACATCAATATTGATACTTTGTAACTGATTATGAGTTGACAGCTAATATAAAGCCATGAGATAGGTCGGTCATAGATTATTCATGTGTATATAACACATTAATTTTTTAATACTAAATTTACTTAGTTAGACTTTAACTTGCATAGTTTAACATTTTCGTGCGTGTGCTCTCTGCCTGAGAACACTAAATTATGAAATGTGAAAATTGTGAAATCTGTCTATCTGGCTACAGTATATGTATCCTTGTTGCCCTAACAGTTTAAACTGAATACTAAAACTGTGGTTGTTTGTTTTTTGTATATTTCTTTTGTAGGCATGCATGATGGGAATGTAAATACTGCCACGGATAGTGGTGAGTTTTTTAACCCCAGTTTTAATAAGAAACATTTATTGTATTTTTTTCCATGTGCGTTTAACCTTGCTTGTCTTTTTCCAGGAACAGTGGCTGCTGTCGTCATTGGTGCTGTGGTTTTGTTAGGTAATGTATATTGTTTCTTTTGGAATTTATATAGTGCATTTTGTTGTTGAAATGAGAACAAAAACAAAAAATTTCTTTAATTATTTTTTGCAGGTGTAATTATAGGTTTTTTCCTGTTGCACAAGTTTAACATGAGAAGAAAAGGGTAAGTTCCATTTTTTTTACTCTTAACTTCATCATGCATGGCTTACATTTGATTTTACTCTATATGCCCCTGCTACTTCTCTTTGCGTGCTCTGCTCTTTTGACCTTTGAATATTTAGAGCTGTATTTTCAGAACCTATATGGACTTGTACAGTAATATATCGTCAATATGCTGCAGCAGTTTAAATTTATCCACTACATTTTAATCTTTGAAATTCAGATGTGCGTGTGTGTGTTTCCGGACTGCTGAGGAATGAGGGAAGTCAGGAGGAAATCCTTTAACAAAAACAGCTGTGAACTACAAATCAGCAAAAAAACAAAATCTCTTTGTTTGTTTTTTTGCTGATTTGTATGTCACACCATAAGGAATCAGAACATTTGTTATAATAAATTTAGCAAATGGATGGATAGATATTTTGCTGCTTATGCCCACAGAATGCATATAAAAGATGGACCTAGCTGCCTTTACATCTCCATTAGTTTGTGAAGTACCACAACAACCTGAGCCTTTTATTTTCACCTGTCTTTTTTTGAAATCTGACATGATGAACATAGAGCAGATATAACTAATAAACTGATGACACAGCATATGATATGGCTCATATGGGTCATATGGCTCATTGTCAATCAAAATGTATCAAAACCACATCGCATTAACATAAAGCAATGTTATCTCCCCTGGCACAACTGGCCTATGGCAGGAAAACAGATGAGATTGTTTTTACGTAGAATACTTATATAGACATACAAAGCAATAAATATTGTTCACATTTTTTTGCAATAAAGAGGTTTGATTCATGTTTATTGTTTTGGGGAATTTGTTTGATTGACAACAACTGTGTTTACTGAATGGTTGTCCAAACCAAGACGACTAGGATCGCCTGTATAAATCTTACAGTCACCTCAAAGTGTTTTATATGGTAAGGTTACAAAAAACCTACCTGACAAACAAGTGATTAAGACCAAAAACTCATCAGGAAAGTGTTTACTGAAGTCACAGATGAAGGGATCCAAAGGGTAGCTTTTCTATTTACAACTGAGTTTTCTTTTGTGGTGACTTCCTCTACTAGCCATTAGAAAGAATCTAGGTTTAAAGTGCTCAGTCATTAAACTGTTCAGACATTAAGGCTACATTGATCTCATATATACATTCAATGACAGAGTCATTTTGTTAAGTAATTAATTTCTCAATGTTGAATTGACTAACACCTAACACTTTTTATTGCCAATTAAGAATGCAATAAAACTAATAAATTTTTTAACATAAAAGTAATATAACTCCATAATTCTGATGCAAATTCCTTATTTAATGGCACCATAGCTCATATGACACCAGAGAAGACCAGAAGCCGGGGTTATTACACTTCCAAAATCTTTAGATTGCCAGCCTCACCCAGGTATCTGTATAAAACCATCAAAATACACCAGAGACATATTTAACCATTTTTCTGTCTGTAAGTTTAGGTTGTTAATATTAGTATTGCTAGTGTTGTATTGAAGCCTAAAAAAGAATGATGCATCATTTCCCTTTTTTGCATTACTTTGTGAATGAAGGTCAACTTAATGTTTTGTTTTTTTGCTGTTTTTTTACACTAGTTCACATGGAATTTCACCTTTATGAAAAGGCCCAAGGATGTACCATCAAACTGTGCCTCTCTGAGTTGACGGGGAAAGACAACTTACTTTCATTGTTGCCGCAGTTCATTTGGCAGATAATCCACCCTGCTGAGCTTACATAGTTAAAGTATCAAACTTGGATTGCCTTTTGTAATATTATATTTGATTTTTGCATTATTTTAAACCTAATTTGTAAATATTTTATTGTACTTTATTATTGCTGCTTATATGCTATTTATGTTATAAAACAGAGTAAATACAATAATGTTCTTTTCTTGTTGTTCTTGCAAAAACATTTTTTTGTTTGCAGCTTTTGATCAATTTTACCACCATAACTTTACATGTCATGTTATATGTTAATGTGTGGTTTCATTTGGCCAGAAGAAAGGAGGTTAGAAAGAGATGCAGTGCATACAGTGTGGTTAATTCAGTCAGTAGAATGAAGTGGTGACTTCTAAAGATACAATCAGCTGCATTCTTTGCCTCCTGACTTTCTTTTCATCATTGTTTATTGTTGAGATCTAAGCTGCGGAAAAAAAGAGTAAACTGCACTCCCATGAGAAAAGGGCTGTGTAGTTTTTTTTTCTCATTATGTTCTTTCGTTTTTTCCTCTTTGATCAGGCAAGATTTGGCTCTATTAAATATGAAAGGAATTTCCAAGACCAAGGAGCAAAATTGATAAAAAAAACAAACAAACAAACAAACAAAAAAAACATAACTGAATGGGTTCATTGGACAGATTGAGAAGCTGTTGTGAAAATAAAAATAATCTACTAGATAAGAGAAAGATTTTAGAACCTAATTTTTGTTGTGCATGCTACTATTATGCAGGTTAAAGAACATGATGAAGTCTTCATCACACCTTAAAAATGTAAAAGTTTCTCTCCTAGGAGGAGAGCATCAGTGAATGCATTCACTGTCATGTCAACAGATTAGCACAAAGCCATTATGCTGACAAGGGTGTGGATCCATACGGACACAAGCCCAAAAATAAAATGTGATGATGACTGTTTCATTGTATCCTGCTCAAGTGTTGTATTTCATTCAGTGTAATACTTCAGCTCTATCTCACGGCAGGATACGCCTTCATTAACATAGTTGTTTGTCTTAGTTATGCTGACAGACATTTAATTATCAGAGGGAAGTCGTTTTTGTCAATCTTGACAATCTTGGCAAAAACAACAATCCACCATAAGACACCTTAAAAATGAAATTTATTATATTTATAAGGTTTTCTCACTGGTCGCATGTCCACTTTGCGTTGGACTTTTTTGTATTAAAAGGATACATCTGAGGAGTCTGTTTTTCTTATTGTAACAAAAACAAAACTAACAATTTTTTGTCCTATAAAAGTTTTTCTTCCTTTGAAGCCATTGTTTGTTGAGCAAAACAAAAATCACGTCACTGAGACATTCAGTCGCAGTATGTGACAAATAAACAACTGAAAATGCCTCTGCAGGAAAAAAAAAATTAAATAAATGCAATCCCCCATAGCACACATCACTGTCTGTCTTCAGTAGCCCGAGGCATTTCTGGAGCAGCCATCTAAAGGGGCCGTCTTATTGATGTATTCACAGATGCTCCATGATTTGTCTTAAATTGTGGCTCTTACACTCAATAAACTTTGTCCTCTTACTGTTGCTCATATATCCTCAGGGTGCTGGACTTTGGGTGGCGACTAATATACTCAGGGAAAAAAAAGAAGGTAAGGAAACAAAATGGGTGTTAGGATTGGAATATTATATGAAGAAATGAACATGCTAAAAATGCTAAAAATATGTCATTCTATCTCATTACTTGGCAGTTAATAGGACTTGTACTCTGTTTTTTTAAGAGATGTTACTGTCATGAAATTAAAATGACAATCCTTATATAAGGTGCATAAAGAAACAGACCCATTTAGCTCATTGCTAGATGGTTGTTAGGCAACACAGTAATGCTATATAAGATTTGATATAGATACGAACCTTCAAGGGCCTCAGATTTGCATGTGTGTCAAGTGTGGTTGCTTAACTCCTAGCAGGAGTTGGGGGACAAATAAACAAACAAACACAGAGACATGTTTGTTTTTGCAAACCATCCACCAACTGAGACAAAACCACAGATATGAAATGAAAAGAAAATTCCTTGGATTGTCGAAGTAATTCTGTTTCCTGGCACCTAAAGCCTTTGCACAATTTAATCATCCATCCATCAAAAAGTTTTGTAACAATTTCAGACCAATACTGCCACCCCTAAAGCCATGCTGCTATCATGATTAAGAGTGAAGAATCTCATTGGGCTTCTCCTTTGAACAGAACATTACAACAAACCCTCTAACAACATGATGACAAATCCAGCATCTGGGGAGGGATGACGCATGAGGAACTCACAATATTGGCCAGTCTTTTAAAAGGCTTAGTCACCTAGTTGTCATCAAAGTGGCTTACCCTTTAATTACCAGCCTTGATCCTTTAATTCCTACCAGTCTTGTGATTTTCAACAATACTCATTTGTGCAGTTAACAAAAACAGTTTTCTGTCTAATTTTCATATATTGACCAGCCAACTTTACCGACCCTCTTCTGTAGCTTTAACAATCAAATAACAAATACAGAAGTACAAAAATGAATGGAAAGTTGGAAAAACAAGTGAAAACAGAAAACAAGCTGGTTGTCTTTCGTGTCTGACCAAGTGTTCCACTCACCAAAATGTGTAACATTTATTCTGCCTACTCTTTAACTTTGTTTTTCCACTGACCTGCCACACCCATAGCAGCTCACTATGTATCATCACAGTCATAAAACCTTAAAAAAAACTGTCACTGTCAGAAAATCTTTAAAAAGAACCGCAAGAGCAGATTTACAGGAAAGAAAAATAAAGGAAGGAAGTGATAAAACCCTGGCTTTCTGAGTTCCATGTGCTATGCATAAGGTTATACTTAAAAGTAACTCCATTAGCTCCTCTTGATTTTCCATTAGACTTCCATGAGCTTTTGTCCTGTTTGTGAAGAAAAAAGATGTGGTCCTCTTATCTCTCTTCATCCTCTTTGTGGGTTTCCTAATAGTTTTCTTTATTTTTCTGTTCATATAATAGAAATTCAGACATTATTAATTTTAGTTCATAAGCTTGTTATGTTATTGTCAAAAAAAAAATCAAACATTTATTTAGCAAGTTTTAAATCAAATGGACAAGTGGGCTTTAGGCTGGCTCCCATCACATGAACTTCTTAAGATCATAATTAATTTTTGGATTATGTCACAACACAAAGGGGAGGAAATGTTTTTGCGGATGAGGGGCACTGGGTAGTTATTTTCCAGCAACATGGTAAAGCTGGGGTGGGGGTGGGAGCACTGTAACAGTGGAAATGATGCAGTTTTACACATGAGGTAAACAAGAAAAGGCAAAACGTCAGACTGATGAAAACGTGTAATTGTGAAGTAAACCACTAGCCAAACAGGAAGAGAGGGCATGCATACTTTTGTTTATGATTCACGTGTGTTGTCTGAAGCACTTCCACGGCTACACAAAATATGGTGGGAAATTAGAGAGTGGCTTCGGCATAACTGTTTTGTGGTGGAAAGGAGAATGAGGAAACCCCTCTTTAAAATTGTTCTCATGAGTGGGGCGGATGGAAATCTTTAAGCTGAAGACGAGATAAATGGTTCCCACTGAGGACTGAGAAGTAGACAAAAAACAGATGTTAAACAGGGATGCCCCACCATCTGTATCACACTGTAAATGTTTACATGCTTTTGCTGCAAGCACATTCAACAATATGGAAACCATTACTGTTAGTTATATTAACACTTGTGATGTACTTATATTACTTACAATGAGACTTAATAGTTTTTGTGTAGTGTTGCTTCTAATCAGAAGCATTTTTTTCTCTAAAGGCTTTTGTACAACTTTTTACAAACTGTGGACATTCTCAGCGTTAAATGCTCAGTCTAAACAGTTAAATGCAACCCAAGAGTTTTGTGCATAGGTTATAGGTTATAGAGGGAGTCTAGGTTATACTCCCTCCATATTTTTTCTAACAGTAGAGTTGGCTCAGCTTTGTGGATTTCAGAGGGCGAGGACGCTTGCCCACCATTTCACACTGACTTTTAGTGTGCCAAATGTCAGTACAATTTCTTTAGAAGCTGTCATCGTCCTGAGGTGTTGTTTTTTCTGTTTTGGACCATATTACATATTTGTTTCTACTGTATTTTTCTCATTCTTACTGTTAGGGTTCCTATCTCTGTCTCAGCTGTCCTCTGACCACTTTCTGTTTTACTTTGAACCTTTCTCTTGTCTGTTGTTTTGATTTTACTTACTGTTTTTCCCCCCTTTCCTTTTTTCCACCTAGCTTTGTTCCCAGTTTTTCAGGTGCATATGATTTTGTCATCGAGGTTTCTGCTTTATTTGCCTCTTTTTTGGATTTTGACTTGTACTTTAGCGAGTAAAGGCTAAAGGAAATTGTTTGTTTCCATCTGCCTTTGTGCTCTGCGTGAGCCCGCTCATCAGATAACAGACTCAGCTTGATGAAATGCCTTACAAGTTGTTTTTGCAATAGTCCCTAACATTAACATTAGTATAAATACAGAACTAAACTGTCAAACAGCTTTGGTGACAGATATCTGAAGCTTGCTAATGTTAGTTAACATTGGATGCTGTAAACAAGTGGTGATTCCAGACTAATCAAAGCTTTACAAGCCAAGTTTTGTTTTGTTTTTTTAAGTTAATGACAACAACTTCTCATTTTTAAGAGGTTACGATATTCTCTTCTTAGTCCATTAGTCCATAAGTGTTGTCTTGGTAATAAAATGACTGCAGTGCTTCTAAACATCGTGTCTGCCATGACCAATCTGTCATTTGTCAGTTTTCTTCCTGCAGCTGCTGAGGTCAGGGGCAAATTATATAATTTTAAGCAAGCAGTGATACTAGTCTTACTAGACCACAGAACAGGGCTTGGTCACAAATGGATGAGGCAGATGACGTCATGTTTAACAAACTCCCTATGACTCACTTTTTCTTTATAGTGGAAGTAAAGTAAGTGAAGTATGTTTTTGTTTGCTGTTGATATAGAAACTCACTCTGATGACGGCTTCATCTCCCCGGTTTCCTTCTTTCCAGACACAACAGATGAAAATAAGGTCAAATTGAGATTTACCCCATTGGATGACAGGCTTTCAGTAGCCTCTTTCATGCAATTTTATTTTACCTAGACTTCACACTTTTTTTGATAAGGCTAGCAGCGGGAAATCAATAAAAAGCTGTGTTAGATGACACCACTTAGCGGCTAACCCTGTTACTCTCGGTTAAGAGAAAATGTCAGAGGAGGATTTGGGAAGCAGTAAGGAGACCTTTCAGCTGGTGGTTCCACATAAGCAAAGGATGTTAGAGGTGGTGGCAGATCTGTAATTCATGAACCTAATAGTAAATCCTGCCTAACATTTACTGAACTGTAATAAGTGTGTTACCTGACTGGTCAGTGACTATAATTAATCATTCTGTAGCTCTTTTAGATATAATTCTTAAAGACAGTATGTCCCCATACTTACAAAGAGCAAAATTCAATTGGAGTGTAGCTGTTGTCAGAAAG